AGGAAAGCAACAGGCTGACTTAGCACTGGAGTGCAGAGAGCTGACAAAGACACTAGGTTGGTGAAACCAATATTGTTTTGTCCTTGTTTAACCCCTGAGAGATAGGGAACCTGAAGATCGTAAGTGCTCAGACGAGCTAGGTTTTTGTTTATAGGGATTTGTGTTATATTTATGTTTTCATTTGCTGCTGTCTCCTGTGTGGACTTCCAAATAAAGTGCCTGGATTATATGCAAATAAAGGAGTGTGTCTGTTGTTTACCCTAGAGGACCGTGCTACCTGCAGACAAGGATCACAATATATATAAAAAAACAAATAAAAAAAAAGATGTAAATGCAGTGTATATCAATAGTCCAATGTCTATTAAAATTAGATACCACAGTAAATGAGCCAAAGCACAACAGAGGTTCCAGTCTGCTCTTGTACGAAGAACCACAGTGGAGATCTGGTATCTTATTGTAGTCCGTATGAATATGTAAAAAGAAGGAATCCAATAGTGCAGTATACCAATACAGACAGAACCAGTGCAGCAAATAATGATGGCTTACTCACATTTGGCAGAGCTATAACTAGCTCTAGTGTATACAGTGTCCCGTGGTATGGATCCCCACTTGCAGAATATAGTGTAGATGTAGTCCAGCAGGAAAAAGACCATGAAACCAAGAAGGAATTAAAAGGCAAAATAATAGTGCTCTCTGTTTTGTTAAACCAATATAGAATTGTTAATAAAAATACTCAAAATAGGGGGCGTGGCTAAGCGATTGAACTGCATGGCCGCACAGTCTCAGAGCTCCGAGACACATCAAGAGATTTACACACTTTACCCGCAGTATTGCCGGACCGAGACGACAGTAGAGGCAGGCGGTAGACCCACACTACAACATGGGTCGGAAAAACAAAAAGATAAAGCCCGATAAACACCGATTAAGCCACGACATTGGCGTGCTCCTAAGGCAGGCACAACAGGCCGGCGGACCCAAAATGACCGACTACCCTGAGGCCTACTCAGACCTGTCTGAAGAACTGTCCCTGGAGGACGACGAAGACAAAATGCCGACTAGACCGGCACCAGCCGCAAAACCGGTCAGCCCAGACAAAGAACCGTGGTGCTGAAAAGTCTGCTGGCAGACCTACAAAACAATATCCTGGTAGACATGGCGAACCTGCGTGCAGACCTCCAGGGCCTGACGGGCCAGATCGGAGCTGTGGAAGCCATCACAGGGGAGCATACACAACAAATTGCCTCCATGCAGCAAACAATCCGGGGGCTCCAGAAACAGAACGCAGTGTACGATACCAGGTTCGCGATGCTGGAAGATATGCGGCGCAAAAACAATTTAAAAATCAGAGGCGTCCCGGAGGCTATACCCACAGAGGAACTACCACACATGCTGAGGCGCCTCACGGTAGTTATCCCCACGACAGGCCGAATCCATGTCTATGGAGGATTGCTTCCGCATACCAAAAAGCACCAAAAGCCCCAGAAGCAGCCCTGAGGGATCTAATAGTCCATTTCCACAATGGCAGGGACAAGGCGGCAATGCTTATGGCCCTCAAAGACCGGGACTCAAATACAGAGTAATGCCACTCTCTCCCCTATTCTTCTCAGATCATGCCAGTAGAACAATCCAATCAAATGCTTCTCCTTGAGCACATTTAATTGGACCACAAGCAGGCATCAGTAATGTCATGGAATAGGGCAGTATCAGATACTGTGCACATTGCACGCAGGAATAGGGCAGTATCAGACATTGTGCACACTGCATGCAGGAATAGGGCTGTATCAGACATTGTGCACACTGCATGCAGGAATAGGGCTGTATCAGACATTGTGCACACTGCACGCAGGAATAGGGCAGTAACAGACACTGTGTACATTGCACACAGGAATAGGGCAGTAACAGACACTGTGTACATTGCACACAGGAATAGGGCAGTATCAGACACTGTGCACATCGCACGCAGGAATAGGGCTGTATCAGTCCTTGTGCACACTGCGTGCAGGAATAGGGCTGTATCAGACACTGTGCACATCGCACGCAGGAATAGGGCTGTATCAGACATTGTGCACACTGCGCGCAAGAATAGGGCAGTAACAGACACTGTGTACACTGCACACAGGAATAGGGCGGTATCAGTCTTTGTGTACACTTCACACAGGAATAGGGCTGTATCAGACACTGTGCACATTGCAACGCAGGAATAGGGCTGTATCAGACACTGTGCACATTGCACGCAGGAATAGGGCTGTATCAGACATTGTGCACACTGCGTGCAGGATTAGGCAGTATCAGACATTGTGTACACTGCACGCAGAAATAAGGCAGTATCAGACTTTGTGCACACTGCACGCAGGAATAGGGCAGTATCAGACACTGTGCATACTGCATGCAGGAATAGGGCAGTATCAGACTTTGTGCAGACTGCAAGCAGGAATAGGGCAGTATTAGATACTGTGCATACTGCATGCAGGAATAGGGCAGTATCAGACATTGTGCACACTGCATGCAGGAATAGGGCAGTATCAGACATTGTGCACACTGCATGAGAGAATAGGGCAGTATCAGACACTGTGCATACTGCATGAAGGAACAGGTCAGTATCAGACACTGTGCATACTGCATGAAGGAATAGTATCAGACTTTGTGGGTGCTGTTACACATACAGGATTTGGAAAGCTCTGTGCAGCTCACAATGTGAGCTTAAGAATTCAGGAGTGACAGAATCCAATGACAGGTGTATTATAGTATTGTAGTAGGTATGCTGAAATCATCAAAGCAAGGCGTTTTAACTAATGCAGAGCAGTACTGAATAACTCCCTATACTAAAGAGAGACAAAGAGACTATATATCAATGGAATGTAAATTGTGGGAAAATGACAGCATCTAACAGTTCTGGAGACTTCATAATAAATTACAACACTGCCAATTGAGTAATTAATTAATGTCTTCAGAACCTCAAATTCTATTCCGAAATATGTATTGATCAGCCACTAAATTAAAACCACTGATAAGTGTAGTGAATAATATTGATTAAATCTTTACAATGTCAGCCGTCAAGGGGTGGGACATAGTAGGCAGCAAGTGAACAGTCAGTTCTTGACTTTCACGTGTTGGAAGCAGGAAATATGGGCAAGCGAAAAGATCCGAGTGACTGACAAGAGCCAAATAGTGATGGTGAGACAACTGGGTCAGAGCATCTCCAAAATGGTGCCTTGTTTATTGGGCTGAGGTAAGAACTTTGTCTTTACAATGGATAGTGGCAGGTTTTAGCATTTCTCTTCTTTTGTTAAATTAGGGGTAGGGTTTGGACCGCCTCAGAAAGGGTTACATTAACCCATTGTTTTATAAAGACATTGGTTTTGGTTGGAGTGACCCTTTAATCATGCGCATGAGGTTCTTGTAGGCTCTACCACACTTTGCAACGAAGGAAGTTTAAACATTAGATTTCTTTTTACAGGAAATGTGTATGGAGACTGTGTAAGTCACGGCCAGGGAGGAGTGACTGCTAGAACTGCATAAATAAATAGATTTAACTCCTAAATGGCAGATAATTGGGCAGTGAGACTACAGGTACACAATCTATACACCAAAACTGCTTCATTAATTTAAAGTCGTTTGGGTGTTTTGAGGGTCCTCTAAGCCACCCCAAAACACCTTACCCCTTACCCATTTTTTTTCTTACAGTAGAGGCATTTAGTTGTTTGATGCTTAGAGTATGCCTTTAATTCAGCCCCTCTCCTGATATGCTGAGTGAGTAGCTATTTAGAGACACACTGTATTTGTTTCTCCGTCATTTTTTAAGCATTTCATTTTTACAGGGAGTGTATATTATGGGAAAACAATTCAACAGAGAGCGTTCGGGAACTTCATAATAAAACAGGAATCTCTCCATCAAGAGTTGTTGTATCTTTACTCACAGTTTACAAACAATACTACATTTATTGTATTAGTTTGCAGTTTTCCTATTGTTCGGTGACTAAATCCCAATCTCTTAGAGAATTGTGTCCATTGCCAAATTACAGAATTTTTTCAATTTTGACCTGCCTTCCTTAAATTTTAAATTCACTTTGAATTCTCACTTTTAGTGAAAAACCCTTTACATATACATAAACACACACCATGTCCACTGTATAATACGGTAATACAGTAATAGTTGGTGATTAATAAATAAAGAATCATTATCATGCTTTGCATGCTCTTTATACATTATCATATTTACTGTAAATGAATCAGGTTTGTTTAGAGTTTACAGATTGGAGTTAGCATGTATTTAGTCTGCATTCCAGCCTGTTCCTGCACCAGTCAACGTCATGAATACGGGAATTTATAGAGTGAGATAGATCTAATAGGATTGTGAAGAATTAGTTGGAGCTGACAAAGCAAGATAAAGGTACAGATTAAAACTAGCCTAATATGAGCATAATCCAATGTTCGTGCTATTCAACCAAGGTTACATGCTTTAACCAATGTAATGTATCCACAGTGTCAATGCTTCCTATACTTATATTAAAGTAGATTGTATTCTGTGGCAAGCAGAGGCAAAACAAATCCTACGTAACTCCATGCAGAACAGTTCTCAAGATGATCCATAACAATGGGTAACATCTTGAAACCATGGGATTTTCATAAAAAAAATAATTCTATTAATTAACATGAATGTGTCCTATTTAACGTACAAACAGATCATTACAACCTTATAAAGTGATTGATTAGCATATAATGTTATTATTAGAAGCCGTAGTATTAATAATAAATATAATTAATATATCAGCAATTATCTCATCAATTATATCTATTAATAAAAATATAAGTCTTAATAAATGCTGCAGTTGGCTGCTTGTTTTTATTTATACGGAAGTCAAGCTTAAAGTGATGGCCTGTTCAGATATTCCAGTATAATAGTCAGTTTGCCTCATGCATATTCATGGGAGTGCTAATCTCCTTCTCAAGAGAAGGATAACAGTAACTATGTCAGTAATAGTTTCACCAATCTCCAAATCCTAAATTAAGCCCATTGCTGTGTCAGGGATATTGTCTTTCCACACGCTGGAGCAAGTGATATTTCCTATGCTAAGAAAAATACTAGGGGTCTTTAGGGCCTTTTCATGTTAACACTTGACATTGGATGGATTGCGTTTTTGGCACCAGTGAAATAAATGGGATTTATTATCTGATCAGCGTTATTTTTCTAAAACAAAAGGATTACACAGAGATAAGGTAAGTCAATCAGATGATAATCCAGGAGACTGTGAACTAAGTCATAAAGAGCAACTAATTGATAACAATATATGTATTTATTTATATTGATAAGGTACATCATGGAATATGTCCCTTTTTGATTATGTCTATTTATATTGTAAATTAAATATAATTAATTATACCAGTAATGACTGAGCTATAAACAAGTTTTAATAAGAAATGTTCCTTGTATTGGTTTATTATACTTTATATTACACAAATGTTTGAAATTTTGTCTTATCTTAATTGTATTAAGTTGTATTTTGTAGGTCAGATTTTAGATAATTTTGTAGATTATTTTAATAATCTATCATTTTTTTTGTTATACTGTACTTAAGAACTATTTTTGTAAGTAAGCTGATACATGTTAAAAGAAAAAAGTCATATTGAATGACAAATCCTTTAGAAGTAACTCATTAATAGTGAGTTTTGGACATGACATTTATTTAATAATACAATAATAATATATTAAATGCAAAAAAGGAAAATGTTTGAACTCAGCATTCCAAATCTTCAATGCATCTGGCAAAATATTTATTGCTATTGATATTTATATTAATTGATGGTATTGGTCAATTGGACAATGCCGCTTCATGTAAAGAGGTTTATACTTTGATTAACAGATTCCACATACATATAGAATTCTAGAAGGAGAGAAAGTGAAATCTGGTGATTAAAAAGAAACATGGCAAATTATTTGGTGTACTTATATTGCTTCAGCTTATCTCTAACCAAAAGAATTGTTTCTCATATTCCTGTAGAGATCACTAATGAATTCTTGTATATACATATCATCTAAGCTATGGAAATGACTGGTGGACTCTGTTATATACAAACTATATGAGCTATATTATTCTGGTATATACATAATGTCATAGCAACCCCTTTTGCATACCTATGCTTTATGTGTTGGCTATAGATATTCTTCGTGAATTCTGGTAAAAACAAGTCTGGTATATGTTCAGCTGAGCAAACAGGCATTTTATCACAAGAACTATTATAATATTATAATTATTAAAATATTTTTAGGTCTGAGCTGTAATGTCAATTCATTAGGAGGAGGGATTAAATACTCACAAAGCCACGTGGATAGTTCGTAATGCGTGTTTGGGCAATATGTGGGCTGGTGCTACCCAAAAATGGACTGCACAAAAAAACTTAGAAATTACTCCAGGGGGCGAATGGATGGACGTGGGGCACCTCGGCTCCTCCATGAAACCCTAATACCAAGCTCTAAAGTACTCTACCCCCCCCTGAAAAAAACATACAGCTGCAACTAGAAAGCATAGGGGAACCGAGCACAACTCTTGGTGTACATACTGACCCCCGTCCTACCGGCGATGCAGACTACTGGGCAGCTGGGATTGCGGCCTGTCGTGAGGCTCTGGCGGGAGATGCGGCCAGTCTCCCATGCTTAGTCCGACGGGACCTCTCACACGCCTACCGAGGGCCCCGTTCTCCCGCCCTGTGGGCCTGGGGGGTTATCCCGGAAGCAGTGACCACCCATGATGCTTGAGCGGCAAACAGATCGACCAGAGACCGCATAGCGAAATCCAAGATGGCCGCCGCGCTTATCACTAGCTGGAGAATAGAGGCAGCAGCAACTGCTGGGGACGGTTTGGAAACCGAAGCGGTCCAGAACACAATGCATGGGCAGCTGCCCACCAGATAACTCTAAGGAGGGACAATCAGCATGTAAACACAGCTCATGCCTGCACTATCTAGGGCAACATCTCACATGGTAACCGGCAGATCTGTGGGGACCCACTTGGGACTATAACCCTGAATGAGCACAGAAGTGCAACGGACAAGAGACACAAGCTCTTTCTATATACCTGAGGCTGCTTCTTATACCTGAGTATACTATTTTAGTATTTATTCATACTGTCATGTCTAGAATTATTACAGTTGATCCTATTCTGCAGACCCACATGCAAAACATCAAATATGATTAAGCCTACCTGTCTGTTTATCCAGCTAACCCAGAGACTCGCTGCCCCCTGGTGGTTAAATTTAAATCTAAGCAGTGAAGAAATTCACATCATCTACCATGTTTAGACTTGAAGATACCTGTTAACCAAGATATTATCAAAAAATGTGCATGTTTACTCCTTTACCTCAAATGTTATGCTTGAAAAGTTACTAGAGGACTGCCGTTGGGGTACCTCGAGCTAAACTGTATTCACTTCTATGCACTGCAAAAAAAAAAAGAAAAAGAAATGACTCCAAACCAATAATTTATGATGGTTAAATAATTCTTCTTCTTTTTCATATGCTGCTTTTTCAGTTATGGGTGAATCCTGTGACCATGGTAAAACAACAAGAAGGAATACATATAATATATCAATAAGCTAAAAGCTGCTATACTTCTATGTTATTGTATTCCTTGACAATATGCTAGTCTTCAACATGACATTAACTGGAACACGGCTTGTTCTATGTCAGGAGTACATTTGAAGGGTTTATAGACCATCAGCTCAGTGGGCAAGATGAGAAATAAGAATTTGAGAAACCATGTAATAATTTTGGTTATATTCATCTGAAACATGTTTAGACATTAACCCAAAAGTTATAACTGTCATGGAACCATGAGAGGGAAACACTGAAAGAGTTACAATGATTATTGCACTGAAGACATGATATCACGATATGTTAGTCCGTAACACAACCGCTGTCATGGAAGCCATGACTTATCACATGTTCCCTTGAATTTGGTACTGTTAAACCATCGAACACAGACCACCCCTCTGGTTCATTAACTTCACAGAAAACACCTAACTCAAGTGCTCTCTTTGGGTAGCGTGGAAATGGACTATCAGGGCCTGGTGCAGGGTAATCACACGCCCCCTGGTGTTGAGCACCAGCGTTTGTGCGGCCACATACCAGGGCCCTGATGCAGCTACTGTGGACCCCAAGAGCTAGGAGCTTGATGATATGCAGACCTCCCAGGAACTGGATAGGGGGTCTCTGCAGCAGATATGTATCCAGTGCAGAAACAAGGCAAGACTAGAACAGGCACCTAACAAGAAAACAAGACAAGACTAGAAGAACCCAGAACCGGAGCAGGACATAAAGCAGAACCCAGAACATGTACACAAGACATGAGGGAAACATGAACAGGGCAGGACAGGACTGTACATGAACTGGGAATACAAGACAGAATAAAACAAGACCAGAGATGCCAGGCAAAACAAGAAGAGACATAACTAAGTACTAATATATGCAATAAACATTGGAGATTTAGACATACATAAATAGCCAAGATGTATGCAGCCCACAACTGCGTCAAAGTACTCCAATTAAGGTGGGTTCCTACACTGCCTAGATATGCATGGCTAAATAAACAATAATAAAACACACAACACTTACCTGCAAGAAAGGGCAGAGGACTTAAAACAACTGCCTGCAGGAACCAACTGAAACAAAAAGGATTAATGGGAAAGGAATGGGTGTGGCAACAAAAAACAAACATTTAAAGGAATCCAAGAGACTGGGAATTCCAGGAACGGAATACAGGAATGAACCCAGAAAACCCAGCATAAAGAAACCAGACCTGGAATAGAAAACCAGAAAAAACAAGAAAAACTAAACAAGAATTGTAAAAAGAGTACTGGATACCAGATGCCAAGGCCAGACATCTCCGCAGAACAGAGCAGGATGTGACACTCAGACCCAGGCTATCCGGGGATACCATGCTTGTGAGGGTTCCTATCTGTTTTCTATGTGTTTTTTTTGTACAATATTGTACCTCTAGTGCCTGGGAGATAATTAGTTTAAGCAAAAGTACATGCTCTTATCTCCCGGATACAGAGACGACTGGGCGGGGTTACTATAGTATTGTATGAAACCCCCATGCTGGGGGTCTGGGTATATAAGCAGGCAACTTGGCCTTAATAAAACATTCCTTGTAACCAATACAACTGTCTGCATCCAATATATTGGGAAAGTTTCTATATGCAGTGGGAGAGCTATATCGCTCCTAAGCACATCTGGAACCAGGATTAGCGGAGGAAGGAAGGAACGGTGACATTAGCCTAGCAACCCTTGACACCCGCTCTTTCAAGCCTTCAAATTAGTCTAATAATGGGTTTTGGGGGTAGTGCAGGGTATGGCATGGTAGGACTGCAGGCACTATAACAACTTCAATAAGATGCAGCTGTTAAAGTTCCTACAGTGTCCCTTTTAAATCTGGTGTTACCAGATTCCTTATTTGACCTTTAATCTCTTGTAGTTGTATATTGAAAGTGACCCAAGCCACACCACCCATATCTTTAGTACCTATTGTTGTTACAACATGTGTTTTAGTTATTGATGTTTAGAAAATTAGAAGAGCTGATAGTTAAGTAAAAGTCTTATTTATTTTACATAATTGTTAGTAAACTATTACTGAAGACTGTTTTCTAGGGGTGCCGTCATTTTTATTGTAACAAATTTAGTATTTAGTGGCATCTTTCTTTGAAATGTAATAACAAGTCTGGACTGCTGTATTGTTGTCACCCATTAGTAAGTAGAGTATCTTGACTTCAGCAGTCCCAATGTAAGTGATATTGCCTGTGTCTGCATCTCATTCACACAATGTACACTGGTAACTGATTATCTTATTCCTGAGTTCCATAAGGATTTAAGGTGGCAATGGGAATAGCCTCCAACTGCCAGCATTCACCACAGATGAATTGTCAGGATTCCTCAGTGAGTTGAAAAGGGATGCGAGGAGTTCGTGTACCAGGCCATGCTTCACACATGTCCTCGCTTTCTAGCATCCCAGGACAAGCTTAATCAAACTGAGGAGATAACCTCTGCATGCTGCCTGATTTTGGTGTTTTCTTACCTGCAAGGGAGCAGCAAGATAGGTGTGTGCAGTGGCACTCAGTAAACATACTCAAAGCCTCCTGCTCATTCATGTAAATGCCCCACTTCTTGGGAAGAAGTTAGGCCTGGTAAGGCTGATTTCATAACTGGGCCCTAAAAGGTGAAGCATAAGGATAGGTCTTTGATTTGTAGGTCTCTACATGGTAGCGAAGAAAGAAAACAATTTAACATGAACCTGTTATCCATGCTAAGCAAATATCATCTATCTAGTTAATATTATAACAATGCTAGCTGATATTATATTTTTAGAATTATATATATAGTAAATTAGCATGAATTTATATAAATTTTATGAACTTTTTAAGATGTAACCTGTAGACGATTCCATCCTAATCACCTACATCGTTCATTCCATTAGACTCTGTCTAGTCTCCAGTCTTTTATGAAATCCTTATAAACCCATGGTTTTAGAGAAGCATATCTGATAACGTTTGAGCTGGCACATTTTATATTCTTATCCTGTATCAGCCTACAACTGCATTCCTTGTGGTTTTCACAAAACCCATTCTATTATCTCCTCTACAACTAGCGTACGTTATATAAATCACATACACACCACATAGTATTAGTAGTAGGACACCTAATCTGTTTTTCCCTTGGATGTGCTGCACTTTACTTGTGTAATTATACTACAATTTATTTAGACTGTAGTCTTGCTTCAGCTATCATCTTTGCATCATGTTCTTGTACGGCAAACTTGTTTTGTGATAATTACCCATAAGTTTATTATAGAAATGTGTTGCTGAACCTATGTGTGATGAGTTCCCTAAGGATTGTCTGAGTGTCATACTCTAGTGTCCTTGTCATTAAAAAGGCCTCTCCCTACAGATGTTCAATTTGTTCTACTGTCGCAGTTCAGATACCACCGAACACTCTTGCATTAAGGGTTTCTTCTGTGTTTAAATATGCATGACCAACATCTTGCAGCTAGACAACCTTTGTTTTAACCTCAATGGTGACCTTACCAGTCTTCCTCACAGCTGTGACCTTGGCGTTGTGATACCAAAGAGGATAGTCCAGTTGACCTGCAGATTATAGAACAAGGCCACATAATTGGCATGAGTAATCTTAGACTTTCTCTTAACGATGTGTACAGAGGAAACCCCACACTGTTCCTTCCTCTGTCTGTGTTTGCTTCTCCATTCCATTTCCACTGGCATTAAGGTTTGAGTGTTTAATCCTAGCTTCTTTCCTTTGATTTCCATATTATACTAATGGTTTTTTTCTAGCTTTTACAGGGAAATATATTATCAACAGTTACAATGCATTTGTGTGAACATTGTCAACCAATGCACCAGATTCCAATCTATTAAAAAAAAAATTTTTACCACCAATTTTACCAGGAGACAATAAACCATCCCTTGATGTGTATGTTGGTGTTGCAATCTGCATACAGATGATAGGATAATCTAGAACACAGTGGAACACCACCACACACGTGTTTAGTGCTACACAGCTCCACACTCAATGGGAAGGCGGGGCAACAACTTTATTGTACCATAGACATGAACACTATTGAGAGCACCTTGGAGTTATATCTCAACAGCTAGTTATAACCAACTTAGAATTTCCAAGATCTTTGGCACAATAACAGGTTTTCCTACTCCTTAGGATTTTACGTTAGACTACTTTAAGGTTTTGTTATATAGAAAGTTTGTACTGAGAGGGGTCTTGTTCTGTGAATTAATGTCACATGAAATCATGAGATAGAGTAAGCTATAATTAGGTTTAATATTTCTGGATAAGCTTTTCAAATTATTTCATATTTTTTGAAAAGTTTTTAAATATTTCTTTCAAACTATTAAATGATCAAAAAAAACTATCATATATCAAATATATATCAATATATCAATAAAAAAAACCATATTGAAATATAAAAATATTTTTCAAAATATTAAATCATTTTAAAAGCGAATCCAAAGATATTAAATCCACGCCTCAGCAAGCATTATTCACTTTTTCTAATGTTTTCTGGTGTTTACCTATGTGCACTGCCCACTATCATGGTTCATTCTGAACACCTGGAATTCTGCGGGTTGGTAACAATGATTGCACTGCAACCTGTTGGCATGGTCACAAACTGTACATAACCAGTTTCTGTATGTAGAAATATTAAGGGTCTGTACATTGTCTGTACATTGTGACCTGTTCGCTTTATATAGAGGCCATGCACAGAAAACTGAACATAAGAACATGGAAGAGCACATGTTAGACATACTAATTCTGGGTACCAGTATCAGTATCTGGGTTTTGCATGCATTTAAGTCAGATATATGTTTTTATAGAAATAAAACAATAATTATATATGTGCACACCTGGCCATCACTAGAGCATAAATTGTGGATCTAGAACATCATATTTGAATTAGTATTTTGTTAAATAAAGTGTAGACAGTAATTTTCCCATGGGTGCACTGCACGCCCAATTTAATATGTTTCACTTGCTGCCTACAGTTATAAATTGTTACCCCAGACAGCATCTCGTGTTTTTCATATTATTAATAAGGTTCAGAATGAATGTTATGTCTATTACAAAGCTATAAATATAAAGTTATAATCATAAAGCACAACGTTGCTGGAAGCAGTTGGGCAGTCAGAGGCAGTTTTGGTCAAAATGACAACAATAACATAACTTCAGGAAGTATATTAAGCAATAGCAGGAATTAAACAGCATTTTTCAAGTTTAATTAACGGATGAAAACATGAATAAGCAGAGAAGTACCATAGAGTAAATTATAGAACACAATAGAAGACTTCTCACAGGTATACCACATTACATAACACCAGCTTCAATAAGCCAGACATAAACACAATGCACAGCTATTACAGTTTAAAAGATCATTTATAGAGTTATTCAATAAAGTGTAAACTATCAGGAATTCAAACTGAAAACATACATGGCGTGGTAAATTCCTCTAGTTCAGTTATTTCAGTCTAACATTTGAAATTTACTCCTGTCAATTAATGAATAATCCTGGGAAATTGCATTTATTTGGGCTTAGAAATAATAATAACAATAATAATATTAATAATTATTATTATTTTTTTTTTTATTATGTCAAATAGTGAATCAAAAAAGGTACATTTAGCGTTATCATTTTTTAAAATAAATCCTGGGGTCTAGATGTTATTATTAACTATAATCTCACTCATATTTTCCTTTAAAATATACAGTGAATATGACAAAATAAACAAGAGAGAGGAGTGGTAATACCTGTGAAGTACGTGTTTATTGAAATTTCTTCCATGCTCTTGAAAAAAAAAAAAGTGTGAAAAACAATTTAAGCCTTGATCTGAATAATTCCTATAATAGATAGAATCTATAATTTACCATTGGATTGTGGATTCTAAATGCATGATTGCCTATGGCATCTTACTGTAATATTTATATTAGGTCTTATCTTTTGGATTCCCTCTCATTATTCTTCTGTCCTTTACGAGTTCTCTTAATTGACTGCAAATCAATTTAATTTGTGCTACTCTACTGTAAATAAATGCAGTAGATTAATATGTCTAATTTTTCTTTCACAATTTGTATTTTATTCATTAATGCGCTTACTGTCCACTAAAACAACTTTAAAGGAACACTATAGCACTAGGAATACAAATGTGCATAGTCCCCTCCCCTCCCCACATGTGCCATAAAATTGATTAATAAAGTATCTATTTATATTTTTCCAGAGCCGAAACTCCCTTGGTGGTGCTCACCTCTCAAGGGAAGTCATGGCCTCCTCCATGATGGTCCAATCCAATGTTCCTTATAGAGGAACATTGTATTAAATGCCTCCCTACGAGCTTCCATGTTGCTTGGTCAGTGCAGTGGAAGCACCTACTTTGACTGTCAGGAAGATGGGCATTAGAGGAGGATACTACCCTGGAAAAACTGTAATGCGTTACATTGCAGGGGTAAAAGGAGATGGACACTGCACCCAGACAACTTCGATGAGATAATATGGTCTGGGTGACTATAACAGGCCTCCCAACAGTCCAGCTTTCGGCGGGACAATCCTGATTTCGCTTAAGATCCCTGGTGATGCAACCGCTCACCCTGTCTTGATTCTGGCCACGATTGTTAGGAGGTATGCTTTATTGTCCATTTAAGTTCTAAGTTAGGGTGCTTAAAGTGTCCCTCTGAATACATATGTGATGCTTCAAAACGGGAGGAATCTAATTACGCGAAAGCTTTCTACATGTTCAAAAATGTCTGGCCCTTATCTTTAATTCTTCCAGTATGTGTGTGAGCATGAGGCCTGCTGCTAGCTGAGCATTATAGGAATTGCAGTTCACAAACATGCTCACTGCTAAGATTGGACATTAATGCTCCTGTTGAACTTGCCACCATTTAGTATGTTACATGCTATTAGGTTACAACTAAGGCTAAAGAGAATTTCATATAGAAGAAAAACCACTGTTAAACAATTACATAGATTATACAGATAATGAACCGCTGGAAAATTTCCCAGATATACTTCAGAGTCACGGAGATACAACGCAGCAGCATGTTTAGAACTTTCAATGACCAGTCTTTATTACAAAATTCTCCTTCTTTAAACATGTGTTTATATGGGAAAATGTTTTATTATTTAAGTGTTTTATCAAGCACTTCCAGCTGAAGTGGTAGAGGTTAACACAGTAAAGGATTTTAAGCATGCGTGGGATAGGCCTAAAGCTGTCCTAACTATAAGATAAGGCCAGGGACTAATGAAAGTATTTAGAAAATTGGGCAGACTAGATGGGCCGAATGGTTCTTATCTGCCGTCACATTCTATGTTTCTATGTTTCTATGTTTCACTACTAAGCAACAAACATGACTATTTGTAAGGTTGTGGTGTGGCACGGTGAGGCACACTACGATAGAAAAGATGGTCTCTCCTTAACATCTTAAAAAGACTGCCCCTCCTAAACAATAGGGACTGTCCCTCCTAAACTTAGATACTTTGGAGGTATATTATTATTTCTGGTAATAAGTAAAATCAAGTGTTATACGTTATAGTAAAGGAACACTCCATTGACAATATTTTTTATATATAATATAGTAACTACACCACCAAAGTAAACTTATATGATTTTCTTTTTCTCTATATTTGCTAGGGATGTTTATGGGAAAAAAACAGCTTACAAGCGCTGCAGACTTGCTGTCTGCAGCCTTCACAAGTCCTCCTTTTTTTTCACCAGCATCTGTCTGTGCCAGGGAATCCTCCAATCAGAGGCTTCTCATTGAAAAGCCACTGTGCTGTCGCGTGTGTGTGCATGCATGCATAAGTTTTTTCTGCTTCCCAATGCTTCTTAATGAGCTAGAATACAGGCTTAACATAAACAGCTGTAATACAGCTCATTGAGCGAAGGTAGGTGCGTGGTAGCTCTGTGGAACTACTGGAAGAAGAAGAAAACTTCCCTGGCTGTCTGAATTTAAACTTTTATAAACTGCCTCAAATATGACAACTGAATATAAACTTTAAGGGCTTTTCATATTGGGAGAGCAGAAAATGTAACACTGCTCAGCTACCGTAGGTTATTGGAGTCTTGGCTAGCTGAAATGAGCATTCTGCTTATGTAGTTTACTCGATAGGAGATGAGGGGGTCATTTATAGAGAGCATCCTGCTAATGTGTTATAAAAGATTAGGGGAGGTAGATTGAGCATACCGCTCAGATAGATTGGGTTATAATAGGTACTGTGAGCTGGAGAGAGTATAGCGCTAAGGCAGTGTGCTTGTAAGAGACATTTGGAGCTGATGGGAACCTGCTGCCATGTTCATAGGAGGTTCTGGAGCTGGAATTAGTATACTGCTCAGGTAGCGTCCATACTTTCCAGAACGGTTTAGAGCAAAAAATGTATCTGGATTGGTGTGCTAATGTTTTCAATGTACTGTGTTATTAAATGTATATACTACAATTGCATTGAACAAACCTGATGAAATATATATATATATATATATATATATATAAACTTTGGTTTATAAATCTATGGTGAAAATGTGCTATATATACAAAAAATTATAAACAAAATAATTTATATCTATAATAGAAAAAAAAAAAATTCAACCAATATAAAAAAAATGATGTATATATTATCAATGAAATTATATTTGATTATATTTTTATTTGGTGTTTGTTACCAGATAACACAAAAGCATTTAGCAATATTTAGCAATAGCCAAAGTTAAACTTTTTTTTTGTAATTCTAGAGAACCGGTACATTTCCATTAGGCCAGTAAAACAAGAAAAGTGCGCAATGTTGCCACCCAGTGGTCGAACATGAGATTTTATATTGTTATATTTATAAGCAAGATGTTTCTTGGGTTATTGCTAACTATGTCTTTCTTTGTTTTACTGTTTTGGCATAACATTATCAATTTAGGGTGATAATTTATCAAGATTCACTTGCAATGAATTAATCTCCAACTGTCATGTAAATCATTATTTCCCTGTATATTATTAAGGAGAACTGTAGTCTTTCTGGAAATTACACTTTTAAATAAAACATTGAAGATAACCTATCATTTTACTAAACTGTTTTCTATGAGATGTTCCCTTTTCTTTTAAATTTACATTAAATATTTAGGAAGTCATATCGCAGCCCAGTTCAGTCCAGGGCACACATAAAATGGATAAAGAAACAAAGATGGAAAGTTCAGAGCTTAAAGCAGGCTTCCCCAAACTCCGGCCCTCCAGATGTTGCTGAACTACAACTCCCATGATTCTCAGTCTATCTATTGCAATCATAGAATCATTGGAGTTGTGGTTCAGCAACATTGGCGGAGTTTGGGGAAGCCTGGCTTAAAGGGACATTTCATTTACCAGAAACACAACAGGTTAATGTAGTGGTTATGGTGTCTATATCATGGGCCTGCAGTGTTAGCATGGTAAAGACTGCCTTTTCAGAGACTAAAAGCTCTAGTGGCATTCATTAACATGGCCACTGGCGGTGCTTCACAGTGTGCAGCACCTACGTTCAGCATCTCCATACCCTGCATCGAGGTGCAAAACATTCCCAATAGAGATGCATTGATTCATTGATTCACAAATGCATAAATATATATTATAGGGGATAAGTAAACATAATAATAAAAAATAAATAAATAAAAGAGGCGTGTCAACCCTCTTTAAAGTAGTAGTTACGTTAAAATCACTTTACATTAATCCAATGATCAGAAAATAGCAGCTTAATCTGCATTATTTTCTAATAGTTCAAACGTTTTTTAGATATTTTTAATAGGTTTGAATCTGATTGACATTATAAGCATTCACTTAAAGAAACACTATAGTCACCTAAATTACTTTAGCTAAATAAAGCAGTTTTAGTGTATAGATCATTCCCCTGCAATTTCACTGCTCAATTCACTGCCATTTAGGAGTTAAATCACTTTGTTTTTGTTTATGCAGCCCTAGCCACACCTCCCCTGGCTATGATTGACAGAGCCTGCATGGAAAAAAAAAACTGGTTTCACTTTCAAACAGATGTAATTTACCTTAAATAATTGTATATCAATCTCTAAATTGAACTTTAATCACATACAGGAGGCTCTTGCAGGGTCTAGCAAGCTATTAACATAGCAGGGGATAAGATAATCTTAATTAAACAGAACTTGCAATAAAGAAAGCCTAAATAGGCTTTACAGGAAGTGTTTATGAAAGGCTGTGCAAGTCACATGCATGGAGGTGTGACTAGGGTTCATAAACAAAGGGATTTAACTCCTAAATGGCAGAGGATCGAGCAGTGAGGCTGCAGGGGCATGTTCTATACACCAAAACTGCTTCATTAAGCTAAAGTTGTTCATGTGACTATAGTGTCCCTTTAAGCACCCTCCTCCCCTCCCCTCCTCCCCCATATAACACTGTGTTCATCAAATGAGCATAGCATTCCCTACATAGGGCCTTTGAGAGTTGGTTTGTTATGATATATTTTTATGTCAAAGGTCATTAAGTGGTTCAAGTGGTGAACGTTTACGATCTAGTGATCACCAGTCAGTGTGGTTTAATATAAGAAAAGTGACAGAGTCACACCACACAAAACCAAACGTTTTAGATTTTTGAAAAACAGACATTTCTAAAATTAGAATATGTGTAAAGGAGTCTTATCAGACTGGAGCAATTTAAATGGAGTCCAGGAGAAATGGGATTATTTAAAAGTTGCACTACTGAAAGCAACAGAAAATTGCATTAGGCTTGTCAGTAAAAGCAAAAAAATTAAGAAACCTCTGTGATACTCCACAGAAGTGGCCAAAATAGTAAAAAACTAAAAGTTAGCATTTAGTTATTATAAAAAAACATAGAGTGAGGAAGACAGACAGATCTATAAGATTAGGCAGAAAGAGGCTAAGCAAGTTATAAGAGCCTCCAAAGCACTCACAGAAGAGAGAATAGTACAGTCGGTAAAAAAGGGGGATAAAACATTTTTTAGATACATAAATGAGAAAAGGAAAGTAAGACAATGATTAAGGGACTCTCCAGTGCCTGGAAACCATGCAGTGCCCCCTCCCTTCCACCCTCCATCCCATGTTGCTGAAGGGGTTAAAACCCCTTCAGTGACTCACCTGAGTCCACCTGATGTCACTCGGCGCTGGGTCAGGCTCTACCCACGTTTCTCCCCCGCCAAAGTTAATCGGCAGGGAGACCTAATGCGCATGTGTGGCAATGGCCGCACGCATGCATTAGACCTCCCCATAGGAAAGCATTATTCAATGCATTCCTATGGGGATTTCGGCAATGCTGGAGGTCCTCACATAGCATGAGGATGCCCAGCGTCGTATAACACTTTTCATGCTCTAAGAACACGGAAGTCCCTAGAGGAGGACTTAACCCTGAGAGGTTATTATTGTAGTTTATAAAAACTGCAATAATTACACTTGCAGGATTAAGGGTGATGGGAGTTGGCACCCAGACCACTCCAATGGGCAGAAGTGGCCTGGGTGCCTGGAGTGTCCCTTTACTTAGATTTAAAAAAGAAGCACGGTATGTAGAAGAAGATAAAGGTCTAGCTGACTGACTATTTTTGTTCAGTATTTTCAGATGAAAATGAAGGAAAGGGTCCTCAGTTAGGAAAAAGGACATGAGTCATTTGTTACATGTGAGTTTACAGAGGAAGAGGTTCTATTTCAACTGTCAAAAGTAAAGACAAATAAATCAATGGAACCTGATGGAATACACACAAATTTATTAAAAGAGCTTAGTGGTGTACTAGCAAAACCATTAACATATTTATTTAACCAATCATTGTTAACAGGAGTAGTCCCAGAAGATTGGAAGTTAGTGAATGTTGTGCCCATTCACAAGAAAGGTAATAGGGAGGAGTCGGGCAACTATAGGACAGTAAGCCTTACTTCAGTAGTGGGGAAAGTGATGGAAACCATGTTAAAGGATAGGATTGTTGAACATCTAAAAACACATGGATTTCAAGCTCAGAGACAACATGGGTTTACTTCAGAGAGATCATGCCAAACTAATCTTATTGATTTTTTTTTTGATTGGGTAACTAAAATAATAGATCAGGGTGGTGCAGTAGACTTTGCTTACCTAGATTTCACTAAGGCTTTTGACACTGTTGGCTCATCAATAAACTGCAAGCTTTAAGTTTGGATTCCAATATCGTTGAATGGGTAAGGCAGTGGCTGAGTGACAGCCAACAGAGGGTTGTATTTAATAGAGTATTTTTTTAAAGCAAGGTCTAGTTACCAGTGGGATACTTCAGGGATTTGTACTTGGACCCATTGTCTTTAATAATTTTATTAGTGATATTGCAGAAAGTCTTGATGGTAAGGTATGTCTTTTTGCTGATGATACTAAGATATGTAACAGGGTTGATGTTCCAGGAGGGATAAGCCAAATGGCAAATGATTTAGGTAAACTAGAAAAATGGTCAGAATTGTGGCAACTGACATTTAATGTGGATAAGTGCAAGATAATGCATCTTGGACGTAAAAACCCAAGGGCAGAGTAAATAATATTTGATAAACTACAAACCTCAACAAAAGGTTTCTGAGGAAAGAGATTTAGGAGTAATTATTTCAGATGACTTAAAGGTAGGCAGACAATGTAATAGAGCAGCAGGAAATGCTAGCAAAATGCTTGGTTGTATAGGGAGAGGTATTAGCAGTAGAAAGAGGGAAGTGCTCATGCCATTGTACAGAACACTGGTGAGACCTCACTTGGAGTATTGTACGCAGTACTGGGACCGTATCTCCAGAAGGATATTGATACTTTGAAAAGAGTTCAGAGAAGGGCTACTAAACTGGTTCAGGAATTTAAGGATAAAACTTATCAGGAAAGGTTAAAGTATCTTAACATGTATAGCTTGGAGAAAAGACGAGACAGGGGGGATATGATAGAAACATTAAAATACATAAACGGAATCAACACAGTCAGGGCTGGTGTTTCCTAGAGGTGACTTAGGTAGGCACCAGGAGCACCAGCCCCTCAAATGCTGCAGCCACCTGAGCACTCTATAGAGAGCCTCAGGCGGCTGCAGCATTGCTTGGGCCGGCGCGTCCATGAGGGCGCACCGGCCCAGGGGGCACAAGAAAAGCCTCCTGCTAGTCCGTTAGTGTAGCGTGGCCGAGCTCCGGTCCGCGGTACAGGAACATCCATTTCCTGTACACAGCCGGACTGACAGGAAGTGCTCATTCAGTGAGCATTTCCTGTCAGTCTGACCGTGTACAGGAAACAGAAGCTCCTGTACCATGGACTGGACCAGAGCTTGGCTACTCTACAACGTGGCACTAATCTCTAATTTACCTCACATTAAAGGAACAGTATAGTCCCCAGAACCACTGCGGCTTAATGTAGTGGTTCTGGTGTCTATAGCCTGTCCCTGCAGGCTTTTTAATGTAAACACACACTGTGTGCAGCACTGGCCTTAGTTAATATGGCAGATCATATGGGTGGGGAATTGTGATGTCACATGGGGGGAGGGGTCGGGTGACATTTTTCTTTTGCCTAGGGTGGCAAAAATCCTTGCTCCGGCCCTGAACACAGTAAAGGAGGAGACTATATGTTGCTACCAACAGAGGGCACTAGACAAGCTCCATAGCCAAACCCACCTAGTTGGTAGCAAACCTCAGCAGTACAGGAGAGCAGGCAATACATTACACAGTACACACACACACACTATAAACAATTAAATTACACACACCCTGCACCTATAATGGGTACAGGGTGACTAAAACATAAGAGAAATAAAGCAACCTACATAAATAGTCTGTCTGAAGGTAGAATAGGGGCTTTAAAGCCAAATACATCAAAGAGTCATAGTCACAGGGGGGGAGGCTGGCAAGCAGGCCTCTCCAGGACCAAGTGGCAAAGGGCACTTCATCACAACAGGTTAAAAGTCTTCCTGTAATCTGGAAGCCCCAGTGCCGTCATCAGCAACTTAAGGGTGTAGAAAGCATTTTCTGCTGCATGGGTTAATTTAAATGCTTTAATTTCGTTGGCGAGACAATCATAGAGGGGCTGCATGTAGATTGCTGCAGAGTGAAGCCAAGGTCGGCAGTATGAAACCAGGCTTTCACTTTTGTAGTTTTGCAGCCTGCATATGCCAGAAATTTGAGCAAGGAACTTGGACTTTACGTTTCCAAATTTTTGCAACAAAGGAGTATATCATATACTGCAATTTAATTATGTCATCTGCCCATGGCCACTCTTCAAGAATCTGTGCCATAGCCATGCTGTACATAGTGAGTGAGTTTTTTGCGCTCTGAGGCAATACTGTCCAAGTATACTGCTTGTGTTTATGTGTAAATGCAAATAAATACTGACTGTCAGGATCCAGGGGCACAGAGAAAAATGCATTTGTCAAGTCAATAACAGTAAAAAACTTAGAGGAAGGTGGTATCTGTGACAACAAGGTGTGTGGGTTGGGAAACTTAGGGGCAATGAGTTCAGTTACAGCATTAATTGCCCTCAAATCATGTACCATGCGGTAGACCACAGGTTTCCCTTTTTCTTGCTTTTTCTTATTTGAGTACAATGGTGTGTTACAAGGGGAGGCGGTCTGGACACTTACCCCTGCCTGCAGTAATTCTTGCACAGATTGGGAAATAGCATCTTCCTGTGCTGGGCTTGGGGGTATTGTTTTTGACAGGGAGGGGTGGCTCCGTGCAGGAGATTCACTTTGACTGGGGACCCTGCCTGTATCTATCTTCCCTGTAGCCCATAGAGAATCAGGGACTGAGGACAAGTCAATGGCAGGTGCTAGCACATGGCTGGGCATAGTGAGAGTTGCCAGAACATTTGAAAGGGATATCCTTTGTTTGTCCTCTAAAGGCACAGACAATGTTACTTTTCCAGTGGGGCTATACTGGATATTTGCATTAAGGTAAGACAGTATATCACTGCCTAGTAGATTAGCATGAGGGCTGACAAGTAGACTTGTTACAAGGGCAGTAGAGTCGTGTAGCTTCAATTTCAGTTTGTGGGTAAGGGGAATGTCACTTGGGATCCCATCCACCCCTACACATGATAATACATCTTCAGACTTCTCATAGAGGAACACATATTTTTCCTGCAACATTGATTTGCAGCACCTAGAGTTCCAGAACATTTATAATATGGAATACATTTTCTGGTGGTTTCTCTACAACCACATTTAGTTAATTCAACTGCAGTATCATGCCATTTTTGGGTGACATCTACTAAGTCATTATCTTCTAACCAACCTCTGTAATTTGCCATAAATACCCTCCATATATGTAGGTCTAGAGTGCCCTTTGAGGCAGTGGCGTACACACAACCCATGGGGCCCTGGTGCGAAAATTGATCCGTGCCCCCCCCACTGACTCAAAAACTAACACTAACACACACTCTAACACACACTCTAACACTAACACACACACACACTTTAAAAAAAAAATTTAATCCCCCAGCCTCCCTACCTTTTGGGAGTGCTGAGGGGATTCCCTGGGGTCCAGTGGGGCTGCTGGGCAGCCGGTCACCGGACAGGCTGGCGGGTGCGCAAGGGAACACTCTCCCCTGAGTGCTCCCTGTTCAGCTCCGTCACGCGCCGCGTACTGATACTGATAACGTCATATTCCGGCTCCGGCATCAGTGCGGTGTGCGAGGGAGCTGAAGAGGGAGCACTCATGAGAGAGTGCTCCCTCGCGGGCGTGCCAGCCCGTCTGCCGAGTGACACCAGGGCCAGCCTCGGGGGGCCCTGAGGTGGCCCCCCAGGAGAAGAGGCTGGCCACACTGGGTACATACCGGGTCGCAGGGCAGCCGGACCCCCTGGTGGGCCGGGCCCAGTCGCAGCCGCGACCCTTGCGACCCCGGTATGTACGCCACTGCTCTGAGGGCATGACAGCTTTCTTAAGTAACCTTTAATATTCTTAATTGCTCCTCGTCCTTTGTGATGCTTGACTATTGTCAAAGCCGTAAATTCCCCTTGAGTGCTTTTAGATCTACCCATCTTAAAACTTGTAATTACTTCCTTATACAAGACAAACTGTACAAAAACAGTGTATAAGACACTTAGGACCACTGCAGTGGAATTTTCACAGTCTTGTCTTCGTTATTCCAAACACAGATCAGGAGATCTTCCCTCAGAGGATTCTAACTCGAATTATAAAACAAATGACAAGGCAAACAATAAAAATAACTTAAAACCCACAGATATATTCCACTATCTCAAGATTCCTTTCACAAGACATAACACAACATCCACCTGAATATAACCATAATACCACAGAAAACAAGTTCTTTAGATCAGACGTTTTAAAAATCCTTACCCACCCGGACAGGGGTCTCAAAGAGCACCAGAAAGTGAAAATCAATTATAGGTAAAAAATAAAAGCTTTTCCTCACCCGCTGCAGCTGATTAACCGTCTGGGCTCCGAGCCAACCCTTCTGGGTCCGAATGGACTGGATTTGTCTGATCCCGGGCACGGCACCAAAATTGATATAGATCCAATGTGATCTTTGGGATATTCAAGGGAGCCCAAATTGATATTATTTCAAGTGCACTTGAAGGAGCGTGAATTCAGACACCAGACACCTGTTGGTATTCAAAACAAGCTTCTGACCTTTATTTTGTCAGTTGTGTTTTTATACATTAAAAAGTAAGTGCTTACGTGCAAATACACATAGGACAGTAGTAGGAAGGGAGTGAAAGGGTTAAAGGAGTACAGATAAGACATAGGGATGAACGTCATCCACATATAACAGATAAGTTCCGAGGAAAACGAAAGAACAGACTGATTTAGAAGAGACAGCTCAGGTGTGGGCTATCTAGACATATATGGTCTTAAGTGTTGTTTTAAGCATTAAGCATTTCCTGAGTCCAAGCTAGTCAATTTTAATATAGGATATCTAATATGACACCTATAAGCTTGAACCTTGGAATCAAAGTAAATTCTATTACAACAGAGAGGGTAGTGGACACATGGAATAGCCTTCCAGCTGAAGTGGTATAGGTTAACACATTCAGGGAGTTTTAGCATGTGTGGACTAGGCATAAGGCTATCCTAGACTTAAGATAAGGCCAAGGACTAATGAAAGTATTCTCACCTGCCGTCACATTCTATGTTTCATTTGAAAGAGTTTCATACTGGAAGTATAAGCAGAAACCATTCATAGAATCACAAGATTCTCATGTTTCTATTACCTTTATTCCATTTTGTACTTTCCACACCCTATTGTGTACTTTCCTGTTCCTATTGTCTTTCTTGTTCTCTTATGGTATTTTTTTTATGTCCCCATTGCCCCTCTCGCACAGCTCTGTTAGTGTTCTTATCATATTACATAAAATGTCCCTATCATGTTACATATTGTGTGATCCTTATGCACCATACATATTTATTTCAATGAGCAAGTCATGTTTTCAAACTATTTACTGCACTGTGGGTGATGTTATCCACAGACACATTATTCTTTCTAATGATAACACCTGAAACGCTCCACACACAGATTCCAGGCACAATGACGACTTCAAATCACTGAAATGGCCATGGTGCTTGGAGTAACCCTTTAATGGTTGTCAAAAACTTAAAGAGAATTCTCCAATTTTCCTTTTCCCAATTTTCTCAATCTTCTATTTTCTGTCTCACAGTCTCTTAACTCCCTGAGTCTTTTTAAACCAATCATTGATCCTCACCAACCAGCCTTTTCTCATCTTTACTTACTAGATTCCCCCCCCCCTAGATTCCTCTCTTATTAACTTTATTGACATGTTCACGGCATATGCCATCTTTTTCTCTACTTTGCAAATCTTTTAATCTGTTTTTGACTCTTAAGTTTTCACTTACCTGCTCATCTTTTAATTTCTACTTTCTTTCCCCTGGTTTCCCTCACTCCTCAACAATGTAATTTCCAAGTTTACTGTATTCTCTAACTCCCCATCTCTCCCATTTCCTCTGTCTTATTTTTTCCCTCTGCTGTCAAAACCTTAAATCCAGTTTAATCTGTTTTTCTTACCTTATCTTCTGATCTCTCCATCATCCCATAGATTGTTCCAAGACTAGTTCCACCTTATTCAAAACATCCTGTAGCTCTGCTCTACCCATGTATGTCCCCTGGTTTGTCCAAACCCTGCATTTTTCCTATAAGGGGCAGAAGGAGTCCTCCTGTATTGCTGCCAAATTAGAGATGTATTCTCCTCCTCAACTTGAATTGGGAATTCAAACATAAGTTTGTTTTGTTTTTTAATGTAAGCAACCATGGACCTACCATAGGGCACAAGCCTGATAACACTAACATTAGTGATGGTTACAGATTAGTGATGGTTACAGTGCCAGATGACAGCCATTCCAGCCATTAAAATTGTGGCAGTTGCTTGTCATGTATGAACTGATTCTACTTATGATTAGAGGCCCCAAACTGCACGGAGGTGATCTTTACATTATTCCTTATTCACTATGGGGAATAAATGCACAAAGCATTTCACCATTCACATTGTATCAGAAATTACAGTACTGCCCACTTAAACATTCTCTCTTTAGTAAAAAAAAAAAATCTTAAACTTATTTCTGCATATTTTAATATATATTGTGAATTTTCTGAAATTACTGACAGAAACAAACAGGAAACGTGGCACGTGCATAGGTTTGGGCACCATTTTAGTTGATCCACAAGTGCAGGGCTAGGAAACCTTCAGCACTTGAGATGTTGTGGACTACATCTCCTATAATGCTCTTACAGCCATAATGCTGCCAAAGCTTCAGGGGAGTAGTAGTCCACAACATCTGGAGTGCCAAAGGTTGCCTACCCCTGCACTAGTGATTTATTTTGTAAGATCAAAAACCTCAGCATCCAAATTGTGTTGTCACTGGATTCATAATCACAATGGAACATTTAGCAACTACAATACTAACTGAATACGGGGACTCTTGACTCAAGAAATGTTAAGTATTACTGTATAATTCTAAATGATCTGGTTATTATATACTATGTCTCCTCCTTTACACTCATATACAAATCTGTGGAGATGACAGGGGAGATATAGCTACATACTGACATTGTGGTTTATCTTTTGGGATGTCAAAATAGAGCTACTACTCTAGATCTGGAGCATGTGAGTTGACTAATGGAATATCTCTAAAAGCACTGCTGAAAAATGGAATGATAACGTCACTGCACCATGTCTAATGTTTCACTTTCACAGAAATATGCTTATTTGCAATCTACTTATTAAAGTAACATATTGGGCACCACAAGGAGGTTGTTATGGTGCCAGGAATGTTCCTTCACAATAAAGGATTAAATAAGTATACGTACACATATTATTTAATTATGTATTTGCACTAGATGCGAGTGTGTACAGTTCTAGCTAGTTTATATGGTGCTACATTTAGTGTAGGTGCAGCCCTGCCTATGTTTTCGAGTGGTCATTTGCACATATGCATATCTATCTGTCTGTCTATTAGCACATGCAAACATATATATCATATTTAGATATTTTTTGACACTCCTACTAGAAATGGCCATTTTTTGATTATATGCTAAAATGTCAGATTAAATGCTAATATGTCACATTCTGCCTGAACTTTTGCAGAGTACCAGAGTAAAGTCTCTAAAACATGTTATCTCCCCAACGTTTTTGTAAACCCTGACTAAATATAGGAAAAGATAACACTGCGGATATTTATATTATTGTGTTTTAGGTATCCTTAAACAACACATTACACCCCAAATTGATGTTTTGTTGCATATACATGTAGCTATACATTGCACGTTAGAAATAAAGTTCATGTCAAATTAAAGTTATCAATATATGTAGTTATTTATTGCTAAATTGTAATCACATTTTCCAGTGGGTGTGCCATGGTTAAACTATAAAAAAAACTATTATCAAAAGGTGTTTTTTTTTTTTTTTTTTAAACAACAAAATACATTTACCTTTATGTTAACAGATCTTTTTATGGTTATATAGTCATATTTTCTTTTTTTGTTTAATTGCATTAAAGGAACACTATAGTCACCTAAATTACTTTAGCTAAATAAAGCAGTTTTAGTGTATAGATCATTCCCCTGCTCAATTCACTGTCATTTAGGAGTTAAATCACTTTGTTTCTGTTTATGTAGCCCTAGCCACACCTCCCCTGGCTATGATTGACAGAGCCTGCATGAAAAAAATAAAACTGGTTTCACTTTCAAACAGATGCAATTTACCTTAAATAATTGTATCTCAATCTCTAAATTGACCTTTAATCACATACAGGAGGCTCTTGCAGGGTCTAGCAAGCTATTAACATAGCAGGGGATAAGAAAATCTTAATTAAACAGAACTTGCAATAAAGAAAGCCTAAATAGGGCTCTCTTTACAGGAAGTGTTTATGGAAGGCTGTGCAAGTCACATGCAGGGAGGTGTGACTAGAGTTCATAAACAAAGGGATTTAACTCCTAAATGGCAGAGGATTGAGCAGTGAGGCTGCAGGGGCATGTTCTATACACCAAAACTGCTTCATTAAGCTAAAGTTGTTCAGGTGACTGTAGTGTCCCTTTAAGTCGATAAGAAAATGAATGAGAACATAAGGAATCCAGTGTGCAACAACGCAGTTTTATCACCTCCACACAGCATAGGAGGGAGAGAGATAAAGTGCATTAGTCAGTTGTATTAGGCAATGCCGTTCTATGGGTAAATTAGTCCTCTTGTACTGTGTTGCAATAATAGTGGACGTGTATGTGGTATTTTTTAAGTGCGTCCATAATAAGAAAAAAAAATTTTTATAAAAATATTTTTACCCAAAACTCTTCCACTGAAAAAGTTCCATTACATCTTTAACTAGCAATCTTTATTTTTGTCAACGTTAAAGTAATAGTACTAGTTAAGTAAAGTAAACCTATCATGGATATCTGGCAGCTTCACTTTAATTGATAGCAATTCTGATACCACAAGGGAAAAGCTAACTATAATACTCTTAATGAAATATAAAGTTTGTATTTGTTATTTTTCTTTTAAACTAATTATTACACTTTGTTTATTCACTAGGGAGACCCACAATGGCCAAATTAATCAACACGCATCATACACATGGTACCATTCCTAAACTATCCATACAAGACATGGACGAAGAGATAGACAAAATGGAAAATGGAGAAAGCAGGTACAGTACGTGGGCTGTGACTCCAAATGTTTGTAGATGCAACGGATTGATAACAGAAGGATCAATAGTACAGTCAGTAGAACAAAATGCAATCGTAAAATGAATTTCATATATCAAACACTTGTCTCAACCATCTTATTTTAACATCAGAAATGTTGTACCCAGAACAGAAGATCCTGGAAAGTGGATTTGAATTGGCTTTCCATTTATTACAATACGATTGTGACCACACTCCTTGTGCATTTAGACAATGGAGGCTCGCCTGGTGCTATACAAATCCATAGATAGTCAAATGGACACAAGGACTGGTGGACAGATAAATAGATAGACCAAATATAGATTTCACTAGGATGTAACATGACTCTGCATATTTCTTAACACAAACAACAAACTGTATAAAACATTTTAACAATGTAGAAATTCAGGTTCGTACAGTGCTAATAAGTAACAGACTGGCCCCAACAAGACAAAACTTGGCCAGGATGGTGCAAAGAGTACCCAGCATTCACTCTCTAAAGCAGGTTTAGAACTGCACAGATTTATAAGAATGGCTAGAAGACAATCAGTTGAGTAGCTGCAGCACTTAGTTCCAGGCTACATATATCCATTTTTTCCAGCATGAGGAGAGAAATTACCTCTGGTGGTGCCCATGCACAGAGCCTGGTTCACTAAACTAAATATGGCTGCTATCCATTTACAGAGCACACCAGTCCTCCTACGGATTATTATTATTATTATATTTATAGAGCGCCGTCAAATTCCGCAGCGCTTTACAATGGGTGGACGAACAGACATGTAGTTGTAACCAGACAAGTTGGACACACAGGAACAGAAGGGTTGAGGGCCCTGCTAAATGAGCTTACATGCTAGAGGGAGTGGGGTAAAATGACACAAAAAGGTAAGGATAGTATTAGACTAGTGACAGTTGCAGAAGAGGAATCAGACAGGAGCTATGGACAGAAGATAGACGTAAGTCTTCAGCAGATCGTAAGGGCCTAGACGGGACAAACTTGTGTATAAGGGAGGATAGATAGGTGGGAGCAGCATTATGTAGCGATTTGAAAGCAAGAACCAGAATTTTAAATTGAGCTCTATATTTTATAGGAAGCCAATGTAGGGACTGACAGAAGGGTGAGGCATGGGAGGTGCGGGCGGACGGGAGGATGAGCCTCGCCACCACATTCATTATGGACTGTAACGGCACTAGTTGGGAGCACGTAAGACCACTGAGAAGCGGATTACAGTAGTCAAGGCGAGAAAGGACAGTGGAATGGACCAACACGTTAGTCGCATCTGGTGTTAAGTAGGGGCGGATGCGCGCAATGTTTTTGAGATAGAAATGACAGGATTTGGCGATAGATTGAACATGAGGCTTGAAGGAGAGGTCGGAGTCAAAGAGAACACCTAGGCAGCGAGCCTGTGTGGTGGAGCTGATGGTAGCACCGTTGACTTGGAGGGAGACAGACACAGGAGTAACAACACCTGAGGGAGGAAAGACCAGAATTTCAGTTTATCTCATAAACCACTGCTGGACAGAGGTTTATTGAATAGGATTAGACTCTTTAGACCAGAATACGAGGCTTCTGACTGAAGAAACCTCTTTTTGTTGAAGAGCTATAGTTAGCTTCTCTCAAGTATTTCAGACCATCAACGCATTGTAAAATCTAGTGGATGGTGGATGATATGAATAAGATAAATTTACTGGTGGCTGTCACTATAATGTTAAGTTGTATATATAGATTTACATTTATCCTGCCTCTTTAAATTAATCTATATATTTTCTGTTGTTCAACTGCAGGTTATTAAAGCAGGAAGCCAGCTCTAGTGTATTACATACAGTAGAAAGCCCAAAATGTTTCAGCATCTACAACAGTAAGAACAGAGTACACGTTGTAACAGGGACGCTCCACCGGTACGTGCTTTCAGTGTGGGTACAGCGTTGGGTGAATGCATTTTTGTATTCAATACGTGCAGTGTGATTGCATGGTTGTTTATGGTTTATGGCTGAAATATCAATGTATGTATTTATGAACCGGGGCAGAAAAAATGTTATTGCATGTTTATACTTGCGAATGCTGCGTGAGTGCTAATGTAAGTGTAATTAAGCGTTTTATCATGTGAATAAACATACGTCCAGTATAATCATGGCTATTCTACCTTATCAAGCATGTGGTGGTGTAAGCACATTAGTGAGTTTCATGATTTAGCCACACATTATAGAGAGCCATGACCTTCTTGGGTCCACCTAGAAAAATCAATTTCTTAAACCAGACAATCTGCGTTTGCCAGTCCCTCATTGGTGTCCTGAACATATCCAAGTGATCTACAGATCAATCCACAACCGTATGACACTTTACTGTTTGTAAATTAATCTATTTGATATCTGTATTTTGCCTTTATTCAAAATTACTATATTTTATGTGGTTAAAATTGTGTCCTAAAAATTTAAATTTTAAGGGCTTTCAGGAGTCTAAATGCCTTAAAGGGGCATTGTTCTCACTATAAAAACTTCATCTAAATGAAGTTGTTGTAGTCCCTACAGTTGTTTCCCGTTGGGTATGAGAGTTGCGGCTGTTACTTGCTGGCTCTCATGCCCTAGCATGTTGTGACGTCATGCTCATGCGCAGTGCTGTCACGGTGTGCCAGAGAAAATTATCACAGGCAATGACTCTCTATGGCAGAATCTATGGCGTATTATGATTCTAGGAGGCGCATTGCATTGGATGGTCGTCCCTGGGGTATGCCTCCAGGATGACATCAGGCGAGGAGGAGGCCGCGGCAGCACCAAGGGAGACTCTGCGCTGGAGAGGTGAGTAATTAATTTATTTACATTTTATTTAATTTTAAAACCAAGTAGGGACATTAAGACTGTACATAAGGAATACAGATATGTACAGATATGTATTCCTAACGTAACAGCGTCCATTTAAAAAGATGCATTTGATAAAATTCTTCAAACTATTTTCAGGAAATCTTTTCTGCTGAAATGCATATTTTTGTGGAAGTGTTAATACATACCAGGTAATTGGTCTCATGTGCCAAGGTGTTGCTTGTTTTGGAAAAAAATATATGAGAAAGGTTTTTTGGGGGGAATTAGGTTCAGTTCTTTATGTTTACTTTTGGTTAAAAAAAATGAAATTAACGAATATGAAAACGGCAATAATTGTCCTTTATTTTACAGCGAGCAGCACCTTCCTGGTACCTCTTCAGGCTGCAACACCAACAACAGTAACAATAAAGATGAGTAAGTAGCTCCCATTGAGCAATATTTTATTCTCTCTAGTTTATTCTAACGGATTACTACGAAGCTAAATATGAGGGATGGCATTAAAGAAACACTCCAAACACCAGGACTACATCAGAGCACTGTAGTTGTTATGGTGCCAAGAGTGCCCAGGTGCCCCTTATTGTAAGTAGTCAAACCATTTTAGTATGGTTTAATTTCTTACCTAAAGTCTTTCGTACTCTACGTTTTACCTATTCCAGCTCTCCCAAAGGCTGCAGAGAGGCAGTGCAGGTCTTGTTAATTGGCATGAGAGCATCTGCTGATCTCTCAGTCTATGACATAAGCCTTGCACCAGAGGGCGTAACTTAAGCAGAGAGCTTCTGGCGAGATAGGAGGCTGCAGTGGGGGCACCCTGCGAGCTGCACTGGTTTTGGTGCTTAGAGTGTTCCTTTACAATTTACCATTCGTGCATTAATGCAATCGTTTCAATGTCAATTTGTTGTTCATTAAAATACTTCTCCAGAACTCAAATAATTATTCATAAACATATAGAACATAATAGGGCTGAAAAAATAACCGAGTTGGTCATTTCTTCCAACTTATCTATTATGTCTTAAAAATCTAAAATGTTCTGGTCAATTCCTGACAATTGTTTTGATGGCATTGATTGTCAATGTTCCGTTGCTCTCAAAGGGTCAGCCTTGGCTAATCTGCAGTTATTGCGTAGCTTTATAACAAAATAAATAATCAGCACAGACATGTTATTTGTCAACGTTATTTACTTACATTAGTTTTGCTTATTTTCAGAGAGGAGAAAAAGAAAAAGAAAAAAGAAAAAAAAGAGTAAGTTGTCCATTTTCAGACAGTTTTAGAAATATTCTCCGTACAGAGTTCAAAACAATCATGTTTCAATTACTCGTTTTCAGAAAAACTGATCATAAAAAGGAAAAGAAGAAGGACAAAGACAAGAAAAAGGACAAAATCAAAGGTGATAAGGACAAAAATAAAAAGGACAAAAATAAGGACAATGCTAAGGAGAAGAAGGAGGAAAAAGAGAAGGAAAAGGAGAAAGAAAAGGAGAAAGAGAAAGAAAAGGCAGATAAAGAAAAGGCAGAGAAAGAAAAGGCAGAGAAAGAAAAGGCAGAGAAAGAAAAACAAGAGTAAGTACTAACGTATCTCTAACTCAAACCATATCAGATGGCTGGGGGACTTGGGCCTTCCATAAACATTTGGTAGATGATCACAGAGTTCAATCTGCAGTGGAAGTGAAGCTAGGAGGGGTGTGACTATAGCGGACCAAAAAGTGAAAGCTTACTACAAGAAGATTGGGAGAATTGAGACACCAGTCACTCTCGCAGACAGGTAATTGGACACCAGGGACTCGCTGGTTATTATTGCTTATATGAGCACTGTTTGGACTTGCCTCTGGCATTTTAATTAGAGATTCTATTGTTCTCTCTACTTTCCTTATTGGGTAAGCATTTTAAATAATTAAAAATCGTTGGATAAACTTAAAATATATATTTTTAAAAATATTAAAATATAAAAAAAAAATATTGTATATAAAAAATTACAAAAAAAATCCCAATATTTTTCATAATATTCAATAATTTTATATGTTTATTCAAAAATATTAAATAATTTGAAATGTTTATCCAAAAATATTAAATTATGGTCTAATTTATTTATTTATTTTTTTAAAATAGAGTCAAAAGGTAAAAAAGAAAAATAGGGAAAGATTATATGTAAAAATGTAGCAATGTTTCAGTTCATATAACAAAACTAGTAAATATCCCAAGAGTGTAGGACAGGCTACATGATGACATCTAGTGGCCACAGCTGGTGCTGCACAGTGTTTGCATTCCTCCAAAAGTTTTTGCAAACCTCTCAATTATAATAACAGGGTCGCGTCTACAAAACCAGTGTATGTCTACAACATGTGTATTGCAAGCAATACACATGTTGATCTGTAAAAAAGCTCTATGTATAAATATATTATTAACTGCACATGTACAGTTTAAAGAAAAAGAAAGTAGCAGATGGTTACATTTTGTGACACTGGTGTGTGTGAGAATATATACTTCCATTTTATTTTTAACATTCTTGTTTGTATTTTTTTTTCCAGAAAGAAGAAAGACATTTATGTAATTGATCCTTCAGGAAACATGTATTATAATTGGCTATTTTGCATCACAATGCCTGTCATGTACAACTGGACCATGATTATAGCCAGGTGAATTGAAATTAATAGAGGAATACTATAAAGTATAGTAAAATATGTTGGACTAACTATTATAAGAGCGTGCCTCCTACACATATCCTGGGCTTATTAGAGCTAATAACATGTTACTGTGGGTTCGTTAACAAAGAGCTCAAATTCGTGCAATTTTTTAGCTTTGGGCCCTATTTTCTAGACTTGTGCTCAGAAGGAAAATTCAGTTCAACCGAACCATTCAATCCATAATGTTCTGTAATTTCAGGGCATTTCATTGTGGTTCAAGTTTTGTTTCTCGAAATGTAATGAATGGAATTTGTTATCTGATAATAAAGAGAGTTAGCAAGTAGGGACTAGATGGATAATGTGACGACACATTAGGTGATAAGTAAAGTACTGAAATGCGTGGGCAGTTGTGCTGCCTGTCTACTCCATACCAGCACCCCCTTGTCAGTTAGATGTGGAACAAATAGTGAAATATACATAGAACTTACCTTGAGCTCCCCCTTTGCACCTTATCCACGCAGGGGGGACAATAACTGCGTGGAAGACCTAATGGTTCGTGGACCCCCTGGAGAAGGGATGTCTACTCTGTTGCAAAATATGCTTCAGTTTGGCTATTTTGGCATAAAATGTTACATTCCTTTTGAATGCCACACAGTTCACTCAGTTGTGAATAGCTATGACATTGGATATGGTGGCTGCATTGCATATGGTGTTTGGAGTATTCCTTTAAGCCCTTCACCTAGTGGCTACCTGGATTGGTTAGCAGCACAGCTCTCTTGCTTTCCCCAGTGCTCAAACCCTGAAGTGCAATAAGAAATTTTACAAAACCCACTGTATAACTATTTAATATTTAAATAGAAGCATTAATCAACTGCCACTTCAAAGGCAGGATTTTTGACATCAATAATATAAAAAAAATCAAAGACTAGCTGAAGTATTTGACAGCATATCTGAGCAATACGTTTTCACAGATTGTCACTAGTGTCTCAGCTGATTGAGTATTATTAGTGTACACAAGAACCCTGAGTGTTATATTAATATCTTAACTTTACATTCAATTTAAATAAAGACCATCAGTCATTTGGGACGTATAAGCATTTTTACTTGTGTTCTAATCCTTGTACTATGAGAAAGGCTGAACTTGATGGATTGGACGCAAGTCTCTTTTCAGCCAATAAACTATGTAAAATTAAAAAAACACAACTGACAGCTTTCGAACAGGTTGGTTTAAAATTCACTAACTGACACTTGTTTTATTCTGTAGGGCTTGTTTTGATGACCTTCAACAAGACTATTTAGAAGCTTGGTTTCTGCTTGATTATTTGTCAGATGCCATCTATATTGCAGACATGTTTGTAAGAACAAGAACAGGTAAAAAAGTTATGTTCTGTGTCAGTTAAAATTATAGAACTTAAAGAGGCACAATAGTCACCAAAACAACTTTAGCTTAATGAAGCAGTTTTGATGCACAGATCATGCCCCCACAGTCTCATTGCTCAATTCTTTGCAATTTATGAGTTAAATCACTTTGAATATGCAGCCCTAGACACACCTTCCTGTGTGTGACTTACAGAGCCTTCCTAAACACTTCCTGTAAAGAGTTATCTAATGTTTACACTTCCTTTATTGCAAATTCTGTTTAATATAGAATTTCGGATCCCTGTCCTGTTAATAGCATGCTAGATCATGCAGGAGACTCCTGTATGTAATTCAAGTTCAATTTACAGAGCAGGAGATAAAAACATTCAAAGTCTGTTGCATTTGATTGAAAATAGACCATTTTTATTCATGCAGTTTGTGTCAGTCACAGCCAGGGGAGCTGTGGCTAGGGCTGCATAAACAGAAGCAAAAGTGACTTAACTCCTAAATGCCAGTGAACTGAGAAGTGAAACTTCAGAAGCATGATCTATACACCAAAACTGCTTCATTAAGCTAAAGTTGTTTTTGTGACTATAATGTCTCTTTAAACCCTTAAGGACCAAACTTCAGGAATAAAAGGGAATCATGACATGTCACACATGTCATGTGTCCTTAAGGGGTTAAAAAATATATACTTTGCAGTTAGTAGATTGGTTAATGATTAATGTATGCTTCTAATATCTTATTCTAATGCTCCTATTTTAAAGCTGTATTATATTTTGTAAAGTAATAAAAGTTTATTTTAACGCTAAGGTATAATAGCAAAGATTTCAATCGTCCACAGTGTTTTATTTTTAAATGACAATTCATGATGAATTGCTGGATTGTTACACATTTGTATATATATTTTTTGTAAACAATTCAAAGTATTTTTGTGAAAGAATGAAAAGAGAATGGATAGAACGATGGGTGGGTGGATAGATAGAAGTAAAGAATATTTTTTCCTGTACATTTGCATATATATTTGAGTAACATCTATATTATAGTGCTTTGTTAAAATACTTATTTCTGTTTCATTTTAAGGATATCTTGAGCAAGGTCTTCTGGTCAAAGATGAAACTAAACTGAGGAATAAATACAAAAAGACTTTACAATTTAGGCTGGATGTTGTCTCAATGATACCCACAGATATACTATATTTAAAATTTGGAACTAACTACCCAGAACTAAGATTCAATAAATTGCTAAGAATTTCTCGGATGTTTGAGTTTTTCCAGAGAACAGAGACAAGAACCAATTATCCTAACATTTTCAGAATCTCCAACCTCATCATGTACATCGTGATCATTATCCATTGGAATGCTTGTTTATTCTATTCCATTTCTAAAGCAATAGGATTAGGGGCAGACACATGGGTCTATCCAAACGATACTGATCCAGAATTTGGAAGGCTTGCGAGAAAGTATGTGTACAGTCTCTACTGGTCTACCCTCACCCTAACTACTATTGGTGAAACCCCTCCACCGGTCTTGGATTCTGAGTACTGGTTTGTGGTAGCTGATTTCTTAGTGGGAGTATTGATTTTCGCTACAATCGTCGGTAATGTTGGTTCTATGATTTCAAACATGAATGCGGCAAGAGCTGAATTTCAGGGAAGAATTGATGCCATTAAACAGTACATGCACTTCCGAAAAGTGAGCAAAGAGTTAGAAAAAAGAGTTATCAAATGGTTCGACTACCTGTGGACAAACAAAAAAGCTGTTGATGAAAGGGATGTCTTGAAATACCTGCCTGACAAATTAAGAGCTGAGATTGCTATCAATGTTCATCTGGATACATTAAAGAAGGTCAGGATCTTTGCTGATTGTGAAGCAGGCCTTTTGATTGAATTGGTCTTAAAACTGCAACCTCAAGTATACAGCCCTGGAGATTATATTTGCAGGAAAGGAGACATTGGACGGGAAATGTACATTATCAAAGAAGGCAAACTTGCTGTTGTAGCTGATGATGGGATTACTCAGTTTGTTGTTTTGAGTGATGGTAGCTACTTTGGTGAGATTAGTATTCTAAACATCAAAGGAAGTAAAGCCGGAAATAGAAGGACAGCCAATATTAAGAGTATCGGTTATTCTGACCTTTTTTGTCTCTCTAAAGATGACCTCATGGAAGCGTTAACTGAGTACCCTGATGCTAAGGCAATGCTTGAGGAGAAAGGAAGACAGATTTTAATGAAAGATGGCCTACTAGATTTAGACATTGCAAATTCAGGGGTTGATCCAAAGGACATCGAAGAGAAAGTGGCTCACATGGAAGGTTTAGTGGACAACTTGCAAACAAAGTTCGCAAGACTTTTGGCTGAGTATGATTCAGCACAACAGAAACTTAAGCAACGAGTATCCAAAATTGAAACTATGTTAAAGCCAGAGGCTGAGGAACCACCAGAGGTGGAAGGTCCAAAAGAAGAAGCAGAGGCACCCCCAAAAGAATAATTTAATTAATTAAGTTAAAGACTTGCACCTATTGAAAGGCGTAACTATTTTGTTAAGCAAAGATTGTCACAAGATATGACAATAACTTTGTTTTTGTTGATAAAGTTTCGGAACATGTTTACACACTGTGACATTAATGCAGAACTTTATTTTCTCATACAATATAAATGTATGGACTGGAGAGATACATTTTATCTACCTTCATGGAATGGGACACATTTTACAAATACATTGTTTTTGAGTGGAAGTGTTTTTCTTTATTTAAAATGAACGTTCAATATCAAATAACAAATAATATTTAAAAAGCCCATCATACAGTCAAAATTTTCTTCAATGTATTTTCAAAATCTGTACTTTAGTAACATTTATATTTAGTACTGTAAAGACATTTAGAACTACAATAACTCACAATTGTGTAATGATTTTCCTTATTATGTATAAGCAGTGTTTATTATGATCTATTTTTGAATATAAAGAGATGCTAATTAAAAAAAGAACAAACAACCAATTGTTGTTGGGTAATTGGAAATATAGTAACATCTAAGTTAACTAAAGCATTGTCCTGAGAAGATATGTTAATTATCATCAATAATCATCTTGAAGTATTTTCAAAAGAAAAATTAGATCGGATAAAGACCAACCCAGCAGCTGAAGTCTTTGCTTCATTCCTTTAAACCATGGACTCCATTAAGATCAATGCATGACTCTGGGTGCCTGTGTTGAGCCTGCTTTGAAGTCACAGTTAGGCCATTTAAGTTTATCTGGTACCACATTCTGTTCTGTACGTCCAATTTAACTCCAGTTCCGCACCTACTGTATAACGCTGTGAAAAGTGTTGGAGCTTTATAAATGCTAACAATAATGATAATGCAAGGAAGATACTTTTTGAGGACAACACAGTAAAAGTCTGTAAAAAATATCACAGACTATAAATGCTTATGAATTTTCACAAGGAAGAGGTTGATTGGCAAAAATTTGAGTTGTCAAAAGTTGCAAAATGCAGCTCGCAGTGGACAAAATGGAAATATAGTCAAGTCAACAATTTCCAACAAAGCTGCTTTGACCTACCCTTTTACATCTCATTTGTGAGCTCACTACAACATATTGCCTAGTAAATAAACCCTTGATAGTTTATTGCTAACATAACAATTCCACAAGATTAGTATAGTATTATTATTGTAGTGCCTACATGTGAGGTTCAGTGTGCTTTTAGCAACTTTTATATCATCCGTGCTTTAGCTGGTACATGGTCACACGTATTGGTGGGAGGGTACATACCTAAATATTGTGTAATGCCCATTGTTAATTTTGGCGGCAAATTTTAATTTTGTTTTAGTCATAGTATTTTGACTAAAAAGCCATTTTAGTTTAAGTTGTATTTTAGCCATCTGAATTGTTTTAGTTTTAGTAGTATTTTAGTCCACTAAATGCCCAGTAGATTTTAGTCAACACATCTAAAATCTAATGGGTTTAGTTAAAGCCTCTTTCTATCTCTTTTGTCACTTCTCCAGCCCCTCTGCGTCTCTTTGTGTCCTCCCAGCCCCTCTAGGTGTCTCTCTCCCAAGCCCTGATCTGTCTCATTTTCTCCTTCCACAGCCCCTCTGTAGGACTCCCACACACCAGTGTTAATTTTGGCAGCAAAGGTCAAAGTAGTTTTAGTCATAGTCTTTCAACTAAAATGCCATTTTAGTTTTAGTCGTATTTTAGTCATCTGAATTGTTTTAGTTTTTCGTGTAGTTTTAGTGAACTAAATCTCAAAAATTTTAGTCAACTAAAATTTGACTAAAATGGTTAGTCGACAAAATTAACACTGGTCATGCCCTTAGATAATGATGACATTTAGGTATCATAAAACACAGCGAAATCACCACGTGCGAGACATAAATCTCAAGCCACCTGATACTAAGCAGGAAAGAGCTAGGTGAATAACCAGGGCATAACCCTAAATACTGAATAGAAAAAGAGTTGGTCTCAGAAGAAACTGGGATCAAAGCTTAAAAATGTTACCACCTGAATATATAAATAGTCCATTTATACATAACTAACATAAGAAAAAATAGTAAAAATAAAAACAAAAAAGATTTTATTAACTATATTGACCTATATAGAAACCACAAGAGAAACAACAATAGTAAAATAAAAAAAGAAGAAAAAACACTACAAAAAAACTAAAATAAACACAAAATGGTGATGTGTGTAAACAATGTGAATTGTAGTGATTTAAAAGAGAGAACCAAAAAATCTCAGCACTTATGTACCGAAGTTGGCCAGAGGACTGTGATGCCCATTACTGATTGCTGATATTGAAACTCTGGCGAAGGTAAATTAAATCTTGCCTTGCCAATCACATTTATGACAAGAGTCAATGTATTAGCCCAGTGTTATTCACAACACTTTTTAGATTAAAGACAGATTCTTGCTTAAAAGTCTTTTATACATTTGTTCAGCAGAACACATTTGATTTAAATGTAATATACTTTTTGAGACATTGTTGGCTATATGGTAGCAGGATAGCCTTAGAGGCATATTCTGATAATAGACTGGGACTAAGAGAATACATTTATAAATTGTGAAGCATGTCTTTATTTCAGTTTTATTTTCAACATTAGTTGTCAATAGCTCTAGGTGCTGGTAAATGCTTCATTACACGGGTCGAATATCAGCCAAATGAATATGAACAGTGGATTCAGGAGTGAGAAATTGCAAATAAAAATGGAAAGTAGACAGTCAGGTACTTAAGTGTCTAATTTGAAGGGTAAATAAACACATAGTAGAATGAAGTATAGAATAACATTTAGGTATCATGCAACAATCAGTTATATAGCTCAGAAATTTTAATTAACTAGCAGGTATTTTATCACTATCGTGGAAATTAATACCCTTGGATTCCGAAATTTTGAAAAAACAGGACTATTTTGGGGGCATTTGATAATGATGAACAGGATGCAAAGGAACTGCCTGCCTAATATGGTGATACTAATGTCAATTTAATGCCAGTTGTAAGTTTCACATAACATGGCTTGAGGAAACAGCCCTGGATCCCACGTGAACTGAACTACATGTAGCTGCCTAACCAGACTTCAAATAAGAACTACTATTGCAGGTAGGAGTTACAGAACTGAGAAATAGGACAAGGTATGTCCCGTAAATACACAAATACAGGAGAAGAATTAACAGGAACATCACATGACCTTTAACCAACATGAAACAATGCTATATTTCAATGGGACCTTGCTGCAAACCCTGTGTACACATGCATTTAAGTGGTATACTAATGTAAGTGGTTACATCATATTTATTCTCAAATATTATTTTCTAAAAATAACAGTTAATGGATAAATTGCACATGGAGGGTGAAGACCACCCTTATCATTTGTGCAATCCTAGGAGAGACTACTTCCGTTCATACTGACACGTACCATACATAATTACCCACTCATGCATAACTTACAAAACTTGCCAACCCAATTAGAAAAACATTCACAAACCCATACATATGGATAGATGTATTTAGTACACAACCACAGACTCAATAACCTCTATAGATACACTAAAACTAATCTATACACACGGCACACTATAGGATACAAAATAACACACATGCACACAAATACACACAAAAAACATACATTTGAACAAACATTTTCTTACAATTTTACTCTTTCAACCTCTTCATTTCCTGCTGCTCTCCTTGCTAAGGAAAAGAAAAGGGAGCTTCAATGGCATTTCCCTAGTGTTTAGTATGAGACTGACCCCCAGACCCAGCTAAGCCTATTAGGCAGGTAGAGGGTGACTGCATATGATTATACATGTTTTTTTTTTTAAATTTAAAAAGAGACTCCTGTGGGTGACAGATGGGCGGCAGCCGGGCAGAACGACAAGTCATGTGTTAAGCTGACAGTATGCTTGCTCTCAAAGATCACGAGTGTACATACACGCGCTCAAGCCATTTCACCTACATACATCCCCAACAGCGGAAGGGGGGGGGCTTAGATTCATCCAAGATCGCACAAGGTGGTGGGGACCTACCTTAAAATTACGTTTTGGTTTGAAACATAGTTTATTTCCTAGTTTTGAAATTAGTTAAAACAATTCATGGAAAGCCATTGGCTTTGACCAGGCATGCAACCCAATCCTATCTGTGTGAACAATTGTTACTGCGGGGAGAGAGCACCGCGCCGGCTAGGGTGACCCTGGGCTGAGCATGGGGCCCTCTGCTTCCATAGTCACACGGATCCCCTCGTTACCACAAGGTTATTGTTACCCTAGTGGCCACTTCCCAACCCCCCTTGCGCTGGTCCCTCCCTCACCGTCTCCTGTGATTTGCTGGAACATCGATACCGGGTGGGGGGTGCCCCTCCACACGCTCGGTTCTGAATCTGACACGGGAGCTCATCAACATCAGGGAACAGACGCACTTACATAGATTGCCCAAGGCACGCACACCCTCCCTGACCGGACTTCTGTGGTGTTACCTCACCCTTTGATCCCCTACTCGTAAGTTAAAGCCTGTGCCGGGGGCGTTCTCCTTAGTTGTGAACCTGCAGGTAATCCACACTATACAGAGGGAAGCAGCCGGGGCACCGGTTTCGGGCCCCACCTTGGACCCCATCACCTGTTGGAGCCCGGCTGACCCACAAGGGGCCTCAGCACAGACAGATGGAGACAGCACCTGTCATAAAAGTCGAGGCTCATTCTTTTGGTCTCCTGAACAGCAGCTATGTCCTAACATATGTCCTAACATATGGCCTGCTGAGTGTTCTCTCCCAAAACTGCAGGAGATTGAACATCCTGTAACACAGGACGCACCTTCTCCAAAGACTATGAAAAAAACAGATCTCAATTGCTTTCTTACAGGAGACACACTTTCGAGAGGGGTCTGCCTCAGTCCTGAAGGAGAGCACGTACTCACGCGGTGCTTTCAGCAACCACCATACTTCCAAAAAGGCAGGTGTCACCATTCTCCTGGCCACGCGACTGGACTTCACGAAAATGCATGTATGTATGCCCCCAACCGAAACCAGTCACTCTACATTAGCAGAGTACTGACCACCCTCTCAGAGTTCACTGAAAGCACGCTCATCCTGGGGGGGTGATCTTAACGTCCCTCTAGACCCCACACTGGATTCCTCATCGGGGCATAGCAGCATACCGCAGAGGGAAATCCGAGGCATACAGAAGGCCCTCTGACACTAAAGATTGGTGGATTGCTGGAGAGCGCTGCACCCCACGGTAAAGGACTATACGCACTACTCGGGGTCCACGCGAGATACTCAAGGATTGATTTCCTATTCCTCCAACAAGAATCACTGCCCAAGTTGCAGAGAATTGACATTGAAGCTGCCACGTGGTCGGACCATTGGTGGGTACATATGGAGCTAGACTCACCACTCTCGCGACCCAAAACCATAAGCTGGAGACTCAACAAATACCTGCTGATAGATATAGAAATCAGGGAACAGATCACCCTGGCTCTATAGTCCTACTTCACAGTCAATGAGCCGAGGGAGACCTCCGACGCCCCCATCTGGGAGGCTGATAAGAGTGTCCTTAGAGGCTTACTTATTCAACTAGCAACTAAGAAAAAGAGAGACGCCTCAAGGATAATGGATGACTTACTCGCCAAAATTGGCGAGACACAAAAGGACTCCCTCAGATGAAGATTATATGGAGCTGCTAGACCTTATTAGACAGCTGCAGGCAATGCTCATAAAAAAAGCACTACAGAAACATACAAAGAACCAAGGGCTTTTTTTTAGCTGCATGCGAATAAAGGAGGCAAACTCCTTGTACGAAGGTCAACAGATTCATGCACAGGTGCACAAACAGAAACTAACAGGGGGCAAGAGGACGCAAAAAAATTCACCCCACACCTCTCCCAAGCCCCTAGCCCAATGGTACCGCTGACCAACAACCGCCAGATCGGAGGGGGCCTCACATCTAGGGCCTGGAGCTTCTTCGGCACAGGAATTCATCCCCATCACAAATTACTAGATGACAGAGGACTGAAGCCCTTGCTGGAACTGACTGACAATTTTACCCCGACACATCTGCACTCCTTACTGTACATGCAACTACAATACTTCTACAATTCACTCGAAAACAAAACGGCCATCCACAGAGCCCTCACGCCGTTCAAAACCCTTTGCCAGAACAAGACGACTCTAGACAAGTCAATCTCGTACCTCTACCAACTTACCCTGATAGGGGACCGATCTGAAATACACACGTTCCAACGGCAGTGGGAACACATCATGGGAGCTACATTCACTTCAACTCAATGGGAAAAAATACTCATCCTACACCATAAATCCTCAGCAAGTACTCAGTACCAGGAAATTAACTATAAACTCCTGTCCCACTGGTATAAAACCCCAGCACTTCTACACAAGATTTTACAGTCTACCCCAGCTATATGCTGGAGATGCCAAGAAGGAGAAGTGACCCTGAGACACATATGGTGGGATTGCCCAGTTATTGCACCATTCTAGGCCTTGATCACCAACAAAATCGAGGAAATCCTGGGCAGCACAACGCCTCTGGCGATGGAACAAGCCCTGTTACACTCCACGCCGGGACAATCTCGCATTACAAGAAATCCATTCTAAGGGCACATGCTCGACGCAGCAAAGGCACTCATACCCACTATGTGGAAACACGCACAGCCCCCAACACTTACGCAATGGTAGGACCGAATGGAGGAGATATACTCAGCGGAGTCTATAAGGGCATCAGTGCGATAAGCATGTCGAATGTTGGAGACCATGGATTGAATACATCGCGAGGAGGAGGGTTGGTTCTGGTGGGGTCCAGGGACAGATGAAGGGGGGACGACGCTCACGGCACATGGATTAGCGGTACCAACTCCTTCTTCACTGGACCAGGTCTCCTTTCATTGAGACACACAGCATACTTACTTAAATAACCAGGGAAATGCATGCAGTGAAATGAGACGTGGAGGTTACCGCATTTAATGATTGTGACATATGATACGAGATAAGACCGGCGAGTCCCCAAACCATGCAGTTATAGAAAGATGTGCGTGTATTTATTGCTTTGTTTTTGCATTTCAATAGGTTGCCACTAACTTTGAAAAACTTGCGTGACCTGCGTGTCACAAACTCTAGAGGAGATTTATGTCCTCATGATCTGCCTAACAAAAAAACACATAAATAAAAACGATATTTACAAATGATTATACATATCTGCACCTGCTCAGTGTTACTGTGAAAGAAAGGGACACTGCAAAGATACATTAAAGTGACAATTGAGCTATGAATAACTAGGTGCACATGTTGAAGGATTGAGCAAAATCTGATGCAGCTTGGATCAAAGAGAGAGCAATGTGAATGTAACTGAAAGGCTCCCACTAAAGGACTAACACCTCCTCCTGATAGCTCAAGGGTTATTACCCACTATGCTCTAATTTCAGTTAGACAAGTGTTGTTAAGTACTAAAAGTGGTCAATCGCCATGGAAACCATAGGAACCAGCAGGCATTTTCTGTTTGTGACTGCACCCTTCTACATATTGACACCACTTTTGAGAACATGACACTGTTTTTTTTTTTTTTTTAAACAAATAATCTTCTATTGTTCTGGAATTGAGTTTTGAGGCCACTTCAGTAAGTTTTTCTCTCAAGAAGTTCATTCTTATGTCCACTTTATTGTCACTGTCTGTCTCCCCTTTTGGAAACACTGGTATGTACAGAGGTCCTTTGTGCTAAGAAATACATTGTACTCATTCTTTGCTGCATGAAGCTTATTTCTTGTCTGGGGAACATTAACAGAGAGCTGTCTATCATCAAATGGGACTGAGCCTTCTAGCCAAGCATAGATAATGAGAGATGTTTCCTGGTGTCCATGATTGAAGAACGACTTCAATGGATGCTTCAGGTCTGGATCCCAAGCTGGACGCTAGCCACTAGAGTGAGCTTGGTTACAGATTTAATGCTTGTTGTGTTAGAAGGGTCACAACCCTAAAGTGTCTTGTGCTGGTGGGATAGCCAGAATATCTCAGTTTGTAAGAGAGTGCACGTGGTTTGACATGGAACCAACTCAAGGCAAGCAGAGGGGGAAATAGAAGCCCATGTAGATGGGTAAGAGAGGCAACTGCACCTGGTGAAGATATGGGCTTCTATGTTGCAGATGAGTTTTCAGCATTTTATCCTGATTTAGTTTCATAAGGCATTTTCTGTTTTGTGGTCTAAATTATGGCTACCTAATAGTCTCTGACTATTGGTCCATCCTAAAAATATATTAACTACTCATAAGAGTGTACCTATTTTAGTAGGCACTGATTCATGTTTACGTAGAGGTAATACAGTTTGGTTTAGTGTGACCATGTATTTGGAATTTTTTCAGGATAATAGTCTGTTTCTTTGCAACAAAGATTAGCCTGCTATGAATGCTACTGGTCTGGAGGTTTCTGTTGTGGTTGACTTGTTATTTTTTTTTAATTTGGGGCAAATATACCAATAAATTATTTTCACTTGCATTCAGTATGTCTGGGATTTTTTTTAAACATAATACAAGATGGATATTTTGTGTTCGTGTAGCAACTTATTTAGCTACCATTCCCTCTAAAAAAATAAGTGAGTAGCTAAAACATATTCCTTTTGAAGTGGCTTTTTATGTATTCTAATAGCCCTATCTATCCTGGCATTTTGCAGCATGTTTAAATCCTTAAGGACCAAACTTCTGGAATAAAAGGGAATCATGACATGTCACACGTCATGTGTCCTTAAGGGGTTAATGATTAGCACTTTGTGAGAACTTTGCTATACCATGCCCAGAAAATGGCACCAGAAAAAAAAATAGCTTTTAAAGACGCAATACATTAAATATGTGATTGTGTGGATGCATGTGCCCGTCCATTACACATTCCTTTAATGACATCACATTATGTCCCACAAATTCTGGACTTTAACACTGTTATGATATTATGGCAGTTCCGAACATTCTGGTGTGAGCAGGGTTAACTCCCCCCCAGGTATCAATTGGGCCATATTTAGTGTATTTTCACTTAGACTGTTTTCGATTTAAATTTAAAATTCACTTTGAATCTCTGACAATTCACACTTTAATGATTAACACTATGAATGTTTCACACTCCATAACATAAGACAGGCTGTTACCTAACAGGAATCTTCACTAAATGTCCCAAATTGTCGAGAATTCAAAGTGTATTTCAAATTTTAGGCCACAACACAAGAGCGCAGTTGAAAACTTGGAAGGAATTTCTCCATTCTGCTATTTTGTCCTTAAATTTGAAACTCACTTTGAATTACTGAAAATTTAGTGAATAACCCTAAAATTCTAATTTTAGGTAAAAATTGCTAAATCTAAGGAGATAAACAAAAAAAAAAACAAAACCAACAAACCAATTTCCCTATATTTTCACTCCAGCTGTTTTGACCTAAAGCTAACAAATCTAGCCCCAAACTGAAAACAGCTACATGGATAATGCTGCTCAATTCACAGCTCACATTTTATGCACCATAATGTTTTATAAATAAAGTTTTCTAAAGTTTTATAAATAAAGTTTCCCCCCCTTTCCCCCATGGCAGGAAACGTAAACCAGCAGCGTGGACGACACGTCACCAAGAGCTGAATGCGCAAAGCCTGTCGGAAGTTGTAGTCCTGCTGCTGGCTGACAGCGCTTTGGATTGCATGAGTGTTGGCGCAATGCATGCCGGAAGTTGTAGTTTGCGGTGCCACTTGGACAGCAGTCAAGGGAGAGAGGCCGCGCCAGGACCAGTGCACAGCTCCGGTACCAGTCCATTCCTGGTCCCACAGGCATGGAGTGACCAGTGACAGGTACCGTGTGAGCTATCATTAGCCACTTCCCATACATGCTGCATATTGTACAATGTATAGTGAATTAAAGGGAACACATGGTTAGAGCCATGTAACAGCAATGGCTTTTATTACTGTGTATTAGTAGACAGATATCCTATTGGTCATGTTTAATTTCTACTGCATTTATTTTTCTGGTATCTACTTATACTGACATTTTATAACATTTTTTTTTTTTTTAAATAATCTAATGCATTATCTATCTGCTTACAATGTAATCATTTACTAAACACCCACCCTTTTATTTGGAAAATTGTATCCATTCATTATATGTGGTGTTGGCTTCAGTTCCTATAGGAGGCATGCTGTAAAAGGGGCATCCTTAATATAATTAAAGAGTATCCCATTTGCTGTAACAATGTTAGGATAGGATAAAATGTTTATGTACTGTAATGGCCTCATGTAATTTAATTAAAATGTGTCCTTTTAAATTTCTCATGTAACCATGGTAACCACAAATATTCCCCTAAGGTTATGAATCGGCTGCTTCTTGTGCTTTTATTATCTTAATTAAGTACCAGTTTTAATTTCCTTATCTTATTTCCTTTCACATCAATGTGTTGGCTTTTAACACCAGAGTCACGACCCAAAACTCAGTTCCCATGCTATTTTTAATGGATTTGTTTTGGTACATTTTATTCATTGGACCTAAGGCAACTGTCCCCAATAAATGTCAAGAATGGGTCACCAAGATAATGTTGTGTGTGTTATTTTTTTTTGTTCCATTAAACATGTATTAGCCATGTACTACATGGTGATTTTTGATCTATTTTTATTAACTAGTCAAGATGTACTGTAATATATTAATGAGACACAAATGCATGCAGCTTGATATTAAGTCGATATTATAATACACACACTGTGGCTGGTCAAGAGGAATAAAATTCCTGCCATATAACTCCCTTTAACCCCCAAAAATTATTAAGTGTGTTTTTACAGTTGTGGCAAAACTAGCCACTTCATCTAAAAGACTGGGTCCATTTGTCTAATTTTTCCTGTAAAGACTATGGACATTCGTATGTCGGTTTCACGAACAAGATTGGGATACATTGTTTGTGAAATGAATAAAATGCCGAATGGGAGACCACACCTGAGAGTCGTGTGTCTCCAATTAACAACTGGCAACATTGGGGAAAAAGCAGAACTCTATTGATTTATGGGGTGGCAGCTGTTCGTATTACCGAACACGTGGCGGCGGCCATCTTTGCTCACGAACGCCCAGCAGTGTTTGGTCGTTGAGTACATGGAACCAAAATCGGCTACTCGACCTCGCGAACACCGCTGGACTTCCATGTCGTTCGTATGGATAGATCCATTAGTCGAAAGAGAGCGGCATTCTGTGAAATAAACCCCACGAACTTCTCATACTCCATTAGCCAGTAAATTTGTGTATCTGTTCGATTGATCATTCACAGGAACTCCCGAAAGGAGACCGGTAAAAGCAGCCATGTGCCTGGAACTATTTTGGGGCTCGCTCCTCGTGGCTGACCGGTCCATAACTTCATTTGAATGGCTTTTCTATTCTAACCAACAGATCTGAGCGGTATTTCGCCAGATTGTGTGCTCAGATCCCAGCCATTCAATGAAGGGTCAGATGTATAGTTCTCAAGTTATGTATTTTTATGTTATATTGTATATTTTTCTGTATGGAGAGACAATGTAATTAAAGGTGTACTCTTATGCAATTATCTCTCCAGTACAGAAAAGCATGATGGGAGATATTATTGTACGTTAAGTTTTCACCAGGGGAAAACCCCTTGCATGGGGATTTGTATATAACCGGCTGTGGTGCAATAAAAACTCAGTTGACTCCCAAACTGTGTGTCGTCCAGTTCTTGGGGAAAAGGGGATTGTATCTACGCTACCTATATTTTGTATGCTGATTACGTCAAACAGTGGAGATATTGTGGATTATACTACTACTCCGCTACAACAGTTAGTCTGCAATAATAGACCTGGAGATACAATCCACCTTTCCAACAGAAATTAAATTCTTTTTAAAGAGAAACTCAGTTTTGAAGTACCAAAGTTTCGCCATTTTTATGTTGTGTTTTTAATGCATAGAAGCGGAACTTTATCTCAGTGTAAAATATTGTCTTTTTTTGAAAAGCAGCAATGTTTACGTTTGTCCGAGGACACTCCTCTTGTGCTTAAGGTCTTCATGTTTAACTCTATTATGTAGCTCATGATGTTATAGAATGCCTCCAAAGCTTCTCATAAAGAAGTACTGGATTCAATTAAAGTTTTAACAGAGTATTCCATTAATCATTCTAGTGTCTTTATAGCCAGGATGAGCAACAGTAGATCCCCAGATGTTGTACAGCTGACACTTCCATGATGCCTTGACGTTCTACATGTTGGCAAACCATCATAACAGTTATAGTATTACAAAATCTGGGGGTTTAACTTTTGCCCCGTCTCGGTTTAGAGCATTATTCTAGTATTTTGGAGCTGCCCTTGTAAGAGCCAGTTTGGGGTTAGAGTCCATAGTGTCTTGAGAGCAGACACTCTCTAAAATACGATCAGAGCTCTAATGATGCAGCACAAATGCAACATTGCTCAAATGACTTTCATTATGATAAACAAGATGCTTTGAAAGTACAATTTAAGTGTATACTGAGGTACCAGCGATGGGACTTTTAAACCAAGCTGTGTAGTCTGTAGCTGATGTTATCCAAGGTCGTGGCAAATGGATAATAAAATTAATTCTTTCCACATTTAACCCTTTGCAAGCATTTAACTTCAGGATAGACTGATCAGTCACACTGTTAAAATCACTAACAGGTGAAGTGAATAACATTAATTGTGTAGTTACAATGCCACCTGTCAAAGGGTGAGCTATATTAGGCAGCAAGTGAACAATCTTGGATTTCATGTGTTGGAAGCAGGAAAATGGGCAAATAAAAAGATCTGAGTGATTTGACAAGGACACAACAGCGATGGCTAGACAAATGGGTCAGAGCATCTCCAAAATAAGCCTTGCGGTTTGTATCTGGTATTCAGTGGTTAGTACCTACCAAAAGTGGTGCAAGGAAGGGCAGATGGTGAACTGTATCAGTCATGAGCATCCAAGGTTTATTGACACGTTTTGGAACCGAAGGCTTGTTTGTCTGGCCCAGTGGCACAGAAGAACTATTGTAGCTCAAATTTCAAAAACAATTTAATGCTGGCCATGATAGAAGGATGTCAGAACATTCAGTGCATCAGTTTGCTGTGTATAGGGATGTGTAGTCGCAGACCAGTTAGAGTGCCCATTATGACCCCTGTTCACAACAGAAAGCACCTTCAATGAGGATGTGAGTGTCATAACTGACCATGGAGCAGTGGAAGAAGGTTGCATGGTCTGAAGAATCACATTATCTTTTAGATCAGGTGTGTGTGTCATTTATCTGGGGAAGAGATGGCTGCAGGATGCACTATGGGGAGAAGGTAGACTGGCAGAGACCATGTTATGCTCTGGGCAATGTTCTGATAGGAAACCTTGGGCCTGGCATTCATGTGGATGTTACCGTGACAAGTGCGACCTGTTGAGAGACTGTTGTAGACAACATGCACCCCTTCATAGCATTGGTGTTCTCTGATGGCAATGGCCTCTTTCAGCATGATAATGCCCCCTGCCACACTGCAAAAAATTGTTCAGGAATAGTTTGAGGAACATGACAAAGAGCCCAAGGTGTTGCCTTGTCCTCCAAATTCCCCAGATCCTAATTTGATTGAGCATCTGTGTGTTTTGTTGGAACAACAAATCCCATTCAATTATGCATGACGTAAAGGTAAGCTGTAGTCACCAGAGCAACTACAGCTTAATGTAGTTGTTTTGGTGTCTATAGCCTGTCCCTACAGGCATTTCAATGTAAACCCTGGATTTTCAGAGAAAAGGTAGTGTTTACAATGCTGCTTAGGGATACTTACAGTGGCATTCAGTCAGACTGCCACTAGAGGTGCTTCCTGGACGCTCTGCATGGAGGCGCTAAACTTTCCCCATAGAGATGCATTGATTCACTGAGTGGATGCTGATTCGCACAGCGTGGTGTTTTGCCATGCATGCGCTGTTGCCTCCCAATGCTTTCCTGTTGGAAAGCATTGGATTGCCTGAGAGTGCCAATTGTGCTGAAAGCAGCCAAAGGGGCAGAGTGTGAGCGGAGCCAGCGCCAGCAGATGTGCTTAGCGCTGGAAATAAGGTTAGTTTTTCATCCTATTTAAGGGTGGCTGGCAACCTAAAATGTTTTATTTTTTATTTTTTTAACACTGTCGGGTCAGGAATTCACGTTTGTATTGCTTACCATATAGTATTCCTTTAAGGATCTGTTGCTAATGTCTTGGTCACATTCAAAGGTCTTGTGGAGTCTTTGTATTGATGCATTATAGCTATTTTGACAGCACAAGGGGGGGGGGCCTACATGATATTAGATAGGTGGTTTTAATATTGTGGCTGATCAGGGTAGAGTAGGTATTGTATATATTTTTAATATAACTTTTTCTCTTCTGTTGGTCTACTAAATTAACATAGTATTATGTCTGCATCTTCTCTGCTAAAGCTAAAAGTTGATCAGATCACATTTTTATACTCATCCTGTCTGACCAGCCGTTTGGTGAGGTTTATGAAAAGTAACTGAGTTTACTGAAGGTACTGGAAATTCAGAATTAAGTACCTCCTTTTGCCTTTTTTTTTTCTTTTTCTTTTCTTTTTTTTTTTTAAATAGGATTTCAATTCTAGCTTGGGGGTGTATTTTTAACAAATAACGTCTACAACATTTAAGTCCAATGTAATTTTATTTTTTTCTTTCCTTGTCTTATCACTTCAATTTTAAGTTCTCACAACGAGTTATAAGGTGTGTGTGATGATATTCTCACTTTGTGTATATGGTGTACATGTGTTTTACAGTTCACACACACTGACACACTTGGGAGAAATGGAAGCTCCCTGGCGTCAAGGTGGCAGAGGACGAGCCAGAGGCCGAGGCACTACTGCGAATGGCCGTCCCCAGGTACCGGGAC